GAGAAAAATGAGACATTTTGCGTGGATTTCTCTCCCCCCAACGAACGAGTTGAAGGAAATGAATAAATGGTGGAGTCGACTGAAGCGTGTGCCCGGCTAATGCCCGGGTAAATAGTGACCACACAACTGGGTTCGCGTCTCAACCTTTCGTGTTGACCCAAGGATTTAATATATCTCACAAGTGTCGTGTGTCCAAGATTACCGTAGTTTATTGGAAACCCTGATTTCATTTCCAATGAACTTCTCTCTACCAAACATCATAATAACCATTTTGATTCGGATCACACACGTAAAGCTGAAATAAACAGCAATGATTTGCGATATTATTAGTTTGTCAAGCTGCGTGCTCTGCTTGCTAACCTCTTCTCCACCACCGCCCATTCCAGTTCGGCCCCATTGATACCAAAATCTAATAAGTATGGAAATATATCAAACATTCAGGATTAATTCGTTCATATTACATAAGTGGACGATGCATGTGGAAGGTCAAAGTGTCAAAACTAGTTCGCAAAATGATGGTTTTATTAGGAAATATGTAAATATATGCTTTGATTAAGCTATTCCTGCTTTGCATAAGACGAATATAAATACACATGAAGCCAGATAATAAATACATGTAACTTATTTGTTACATGTCTTCAAAGTAAGTACTTTCCAACTATTGATAAATACGAAGTACTAACTAATGACTGACTGACGAATAGCATTATTTATTACCACGCTTGAGCGGTTGCAATTAAATACGAACGTGTTTATTTATATGCTAAACTTATTCATGTACTTTGTTGTTTAACATGAACACAAACAATTTTAATGAAAGGAATGTTAATCATTTGAAGAAATCAAGGGTTTCTATTTTGTCATCCCACTATGCCAAAAGTAAATAGTTAGCCTTTATAAACCTTCAAAGTTACAATAATAACCAGTAACCAGTTGGCTTTCCAGGATTAATTGCTTCTCATCCATTTTAATTAAATCTCTCCAGACCGTTTCGAATAATAAAGTGAGTAGAGACAGATAATTATTTGGCAGGACCATGGTTTCCTTGTTACTGTAGAGGATAATTATGTAGTGCAACCTGCATAATATTTTCATATTGCTAATAATTATGTCTACGTGGTCACTTGGCCGTATTCTGTAGCATTCAACATATATGCAGCTTCGAGGATGTGGATCATTGCGTAATAAAATTATGATAAGCTTCTCGCAGAAGCCATAGATTATTTTAAGGTCCTAGATCAAGATGGGACACTTTGAGACATAAAATACACAAGAAAATCTTAACAATATAGATTTTCACATTGCCTTAGATAGTTTTACTAATAACTAATTAAAGTAAAGGCTACTAATTAATCGAAATACTTGGCCGGTATATAGTTTCTTGTACAAAAAACGTGTTATTTTATAAAAGAGACTGCTACAGAACACAGATACGTTATATATTGGTTAATGGTCTGTGAACGAAAATATTTATATGTTTGGAGCAATGCTAAAGCCTGAAAGTAGATGCTGAATGCATATGTGCTCCAAGATGAGGATGATCCAAAAGTGAGTGAGATAATCCTCGCAATTTTCCGCTTCATGTACATTTCTTTTCATTTTCTACTGGTGTTTCTTAACGTCGGAATTATCATCGACCTTCGGGTAGACACTTAGAGTGTCATCTTCATGTAAAGGTTTTAGGTCGTAAAAGTCCCACACAATAGACCAAACATTCTTATGTGTTGTACTCAAAGTAATAGCCATACTGTGTATAAGGCTTGAAATTATAGCACTGCTGCGTTGAAATTTACGCTGAAAGAACGAGGGTCAATACAAGATTTCCGAAGAAATTATGACAATGCAAACAGGTAGAGTGTTTAAGTGTTCATTGAGTCATTGCTAATTTATTTACGTATTTACGTACACTGGAGGAAAATGTCAGCAAAGTGAGAAACAAGGTGTTAAGTAGCCCACAGTGGAGTTCACCCATTTCATGCCGTCAAATGTTATTGGAAGAAGGGGGGAAAAACGGGAAAAACGTATGTACTGCCCTTCCTGAAATGCATGCATTTGTGTGCATGCAAGTTTTTGTTCGAGAAATCTTTCATATCTTTGTTGGATTGCATTTTTACTGAAAAGTAAACCCAAGCTACATGCATATGTACAAAACTAGTTGCTACATGCATGCATTTTATTCGAGAATGTACGACCTCCTGCTGACCTCAAACTGGACATGCTTATATTATCCAATTTACTGGAACAGATTCTTCTGAAATACGTAAAAATCAGTTGCAACGGTTTTCTACCCGTGTTGGAGAGTAACAAACCCCTGGGAGGTCTTGTGGACATCGATTTGAGGACATCGATTTAAATCCTCAAAACATTTTTTTATCAATTTGTTGGCAAGTAAGCACAGCGAATGTAAAAGATGTGACCATCAGACGAGACGTCCAAGCGAATTGTTGTAAATCTCACACGCGGTAGGAGTCTATCAAATTATTCAGAATTGTCGGTGGCACTGAAAGTGAAGGCTTTGTTAAAAATGAAATTCTGTCCAGGAAAATATTATGTCGGTGTCGGCCGGTACACTATTTCGTATGCATTACTGTCAAAGTTGACAAACCATATTCTACTACACACATATGTAAATACATACATATGTACATATGTTGGCTACTTTATAAACCTGCGAATAAGATATCTCACACAACTTCATAGCATTCTGATGAGAAATATTAAAAAGTATAAAATCGTAATCTATTTACTTTTGGAAGGAAATGCCTTAATATAAATGTGTTAATTACGTGTTTTACAAGTTCTCTACAAATAATCAGGACATATTAATCACGAGGATTCAATGGTTGGATTTCATTGTCAGAATTGGGGAGATTTTCAGTAGCGTAGGATTTAGTGCATACGAGAGCTCATCTCAGCGTGAATATTAAATTCATTCAAATTTTTCAATGAGGTAATCGGTTCAATTGTGAACCCACTTGACGACTAAATTAAGTCATTTTGAATTCAGTTGGTACGAATGAGTGGGTATTAACGGATGGTAAAATGACATTCGGTTATTATTGCTTTTACTTCACGTCCAACGTTTGCGATTGTGATCCCGAGCATTCGAAATTTTAATTAAATATTCTGCTACAACGTTGAGTGTATGTGTACAATGTCCTGAGTCACCATTATTTATTGTATGCATTCATTAAGCTCCTCTCCTGATGTATCGCCTATGCAGCGCAGCGTTGATGTTCAGCGAAGACGTTCATGATATTTATTAAGCACGGTCCATTGATTTAAACTTGGTTGTAAAATATGTTTTCGTATTTCTTATGTATTTTTAACTATTTTTATACGTCTGCATAGTTTTTGTAACTCAAAATGTCATAATTACTGCTTATAAAGGTGATATAACGCACACTTATCAGTTATGCAGGCGTATGTATATTGAGATTTCTTATTGGATACAAAAAACTCGTCAACAATGAGAGCAAGTTCATTGCCACTCGTGACATTTTGTCAGGTATTGTTCATTAAGAAACGAAGGTCTCAAAAGTCTACTGCAAATCCACAATGCATTAAAATGTCATAAAGGAAGTAAAAATAAGTAAGTGATGGAAAACAAGTGACAGGTTCTTCAAAATACAAATTAAATTTACTTTGACAGCCTACAAACGATATCGTAAAAATGGTTAAATGAGGAAAATCATCATTTCTTCAAACAAACAAACTAATCCTTTCAGTCTGGCTGGAGTTTTAAATGTGTCTTGAACACAACTATTAAGAACATTAAATCAAATTACAGAATTGAGAAATTGATTGATTTCATTGTTCCTAAAAGGATTAACTAAATATGTAGAAAATGAGACAGACAAATAATTTATAAATAAAAATAGCTTTCGAGATTTTCTGCGTCGCCCTGCGTATGAACGCATTGACTGTTGGTGTGTTTTAAATGCATGTACAGAACGTTTTGTATGGATATAAATATATGTAATAATTAGAACAAGCAACAATGGCGAGTACCCAATTTCAAGGCACACTTGAGATACATGGGTTCATTTGGCATAATATTCACCTTATAATCTTGCTGCCAGCCAGTCATTACTGCAGGCCTTTCATATTGTCACCAATGAGCTTAAAATCATTGACCAAGGGTTTCAAATCAGGGGACTAGGCTGCTAATTAAGGAGGGCACTTTAGAAAATTCAGTGGAAATCCATCTCAAGGCTCCTTGTTTTTAAGCCTTATGTACGTATAAAGTATGTAAAACAAAAATGCCAAAGTCGTTAAGATGGAATGCGGATTAAGTCATTAAAACTTAATTCACAATTATCCAATAAGGAAAAGAAAGTAGTTCTTATAGGGCAAAAATATTTTATAAGTGATGCAAAATCCAGGTACTTACGAACAATACTTACATATTTTCATGCATATGTGGACGCTACACAAATCAAGGCATCTTCTTTCCCACGAATTATGACAATGTCCCAGTTTCCCATCAGCCTGTTTCATACACGAGTAGCTTCATACTAAACTGTTCCATGATGATGATGATGATCGTAATCGCCCACGCAGAAATGCAAATTGTCATTGTCATGATGCTGAGCATTGTCACACGCCAAGTCCCCATGTAAATTATCATTACGGAATAAGGTATCCGTTTCCTCAAATTGTCCAATGATGAGTCTGCCATATTATTGTGGGTATTGGAGACGATGGAGAGGAGGGCTGGCAATGTACCTACCCGAGGCAGGTCTAATTCTGTCCCGGATCTTTGGATTGGAGCCTGTTAACCGGAGGAATACCATACTAAGCGTATTAAACCCGTGTTACGCCCGGATGGATGATTCTTGGCGTGCAGTGATACCCTCGTCTCATGGGCATAATGTAGAGCTTCGTATTACTATACAACACAATGAATGATAATAAATGTGGGGCTGTATGATCATGGGGCAGACACCAACACCACTACATTCTCCGTTCCTCAGGCTGCAACCGGGTCCTCCGTCACTCCATCACGACTGGTCCTATCTCTCTCTATTGACAACTCCGGGGGGCCGAATCCAACCAAATCCAATCCAGAGAAAACTCTGCTTCCCTTCAGGGGTTCCCTGATTAACCATAACGAGCTAACTACCCTCACTAATTATTATCTTCTCCTTCATCATCCAAAAAACAGTTGCGCTCGTTTCTCCTTATTCTTCATTGCTGACCCGGACACCACGTAGACCAGATCGCTTTTCGACAGTTCCTCAGTGACGTGAAATTAGTATTATCTCATTTTTTGCTGTACACCACACATCAAACATACTACACTATGTCCCTTTCGTTGGCATTCCAATCCGGTCTGTGACAACTTGCCCCATACCAAATATTCCCGAGCTGTTGGAGACATGGGATTGCAGTGTGATTGATCCACGTATAAATTGATGTAGTTAATTACACAAAGTACTTTAGTTCCAATAAAACATAAACTGTTTTGTTCAACCAGCCAACCAACTGAACCAACCAACCAACCAGCGACAAGATAGTTTGTCACGAAATAACGCAATCTAATAAAAATAATATTGATCAATTGTGTCATTATTATCTAGCTGGCATGCTATGTACTTATGTATGTACGTTGGTAGAGGTGCCCTCAGGTATTGACTGGAATTCTAGGAGCCAAAAACAAACGCGAGTGCAAATCAAATATTAATGCGGTAGCATTGGACACATTTTACGTATTATAAGGATCCAGAGCTGCCAGAGAGTGGGCAATGGTGATTCCAGGAAGGAAGAATAAGGACGCAAAGATTATCACTTTCATCGCCTGCTAAACATTATCATCCTCTCAACATCACCTGCGACAAAACAAAGGTAACCCAATAAATTGTTGACGTTACATTATCAATTGTAAATTAAGCTGTATGCATGGGCTCCACCTTGCAAATACGGAACTGATCCTCGCATCCAAACCATACAAAACTCCACACATCATTACTTTCTGCTCATCAACAGCACTAGACAGAGCATCAACTAATGTAATAATGCACTCACAATACGTACATACAATAATCAATCTGTGCATGTAAATTATTCAAGTGGCATAAAATTCATTGACCCGCACCTGGCAAACAAACTTTATAAGCCGATATAAATTCACTTATTTTACTCAATATATGCTCAAAACAAGTGTATTTAACTGAACAGTCAAACTACATAAAAGTAAACCACTGCATAATCATTATATAATCAAATAAATCCCATTCGGCGCAATTCATAGAAGTAAATATAACGGATTGAATTTTTGTCGTCGCATATAATCCATCTTCACTACATGTGGAGGCATATCTGTGTATCACCTTCCACAATGAAACAAATTTTATCAAATCAAACTAAAATATCGACCAGAATATAATTTACATAGTTATTGACACGGAAATCCGCTCAAATCAGCTCAGTAAAATGAATCACTACAATTCATTCAGTTGAACATGGATGCATTAAAACTAAAAATTAATTGATCTCGCTATTTAGCGACTGTCTTAATTCACTTAGTCTTGGTCGTATTTTTGCTTAAATTGAGCCAAGAGAAATAAAATAAATACATTATCTCAATCAATTCGATTATCCACCTTGTCGAACTCTCACATCTCTTCATCTTTGTGCTATTTAGGATTAGTTCTCCTCACCTCTTACCAAGAGGCTCTTGGTACAAATTAATTAAGTCCAGTAGTCACATATTTACATACATATTCATATTAGCATCAGTCTTTCATGAGCGAAGAATAGTGATGCTAAAATGACTGGGTTGATTGATAATATGCACATTATGAATGAAGGAGTTTGGATAATTTCAGTGTACACAAACTAAAAAACCCCATCTCAATAGCAGTTAAACAAGATACTGCAGCCGCACCAGTGGTGGAGACAAACATTTCCCGTCCATCCATCAGCATCGGAATCTTCAGCAGTTATCAATTTAAAAATCAACATGATGAATAAGCCATTGATTGAACCCCTCCTGGTTGCAAAAGTTCATCCAACTGATTCAACAACAAACATCATTCCCATTCTAAACTCCACACCGATGACACCTTCATCATCACCTCCACAGCCACTCGTCATTTCTGCAACAGCCAAGTACAGTAGTAATAAAGGTGGAGGATCCACATCCGTGTACTCCAGCATTGAAAAACTGCTCGGTTCCTCCAAGGATTTCGCAGACTGCAACCACAACCAGGAAAAGGACGCCGAATCCAATAGTAAAGGCGAGTTATCTAATTCCCTGGTTTTTTTTGCAATCGGTGTCTAATTAAGATACAGAGTTGAAAATATTTTATGAATGCGGACAATTCAATTAAGCGTTTGCGATTCAGTGATAAATTATTTATTGCCTGACACGTTGTTATGCGTTTGTGTGCTGCATGCTTTGAATAATAGGGATGAGAAATGAGAAAGAGGAGAGAGGGCTGGCTGCTGCCTATGCGTTTAAGCGCAACAATGTGCTTACATATGTAGAACATGTGAAGATGTGTTTGAATGTTGAGGGATATTATTATAGTGGCAGCTGTCGGATCCCTTAATTAGTTAGATTAGATTTTACCATTCATGCATAAATGAAAGAAAACGATAAATGCGCATGCATACACACACACGGAGAAACAACATGCATGCATAGTGATGGGGAATGATGTGCATATGTAAAAAGCTCCGTTTGACTGTCACCTAAAGTATGCAGTTTACATTGGAATTAGGTATGTTTGTACATACATATGCAGAATAATTCGATATTCATAACTGACTCTGGGGCATATACGTTTTATTACGATTATTCTTTCGCTTTATTATTCCACGAACAAATGTAGATGGACGAGTCGTGCTTGACAAAAGAACATTTATTTTTATTACGAATTTGAATTATAAGCGATCATCCAAAGCCGAGCGGGCGAATCCTTGACTTGAACGCATTCATTTCTTGTTTCAAATGTAGATTTTGATCGTAATGACTGCTTTCCCCTTTGTATCGCTTATTCATTCGGTCGTTCGTGCAGGAGGACAGAAATTTAAGTAATAATCGTCAATTCATTTAATTTTTATTCTATCACCGTCGTCGTGTTCAATTCTGCATGTTTCGCGGTGTCATATTACACGCATTATTATGATGCTACTGCAGATAGAAGAGGATTTCATGTTGTTTGCGTTGTTTTCTTTCATGCAATAATGCTTACTTATTACACGACACACACATGTATGTGCATACTGTATCACTGGAATGATGCACGGTCACACATATCACTTCAATGTGTATATATGTTTCCCAGGCCTTGGTTGAAATGTATTTTGAGTTAATTACACCTTCCCCGTTCGTGTCCCCCTTCTTGGATGGTTTGGCCATCTGCAATATTTGTGCTTGGCAGCCAGTGTGGTAAATATGCATTGCATACATACGCATGTGGAATAGTGCGAGTGAAAGGAAGGGTACGAAGGGTACACAAGCAAACTCGTATGGTGTCGAGCTAGAATCACACGTATCTATAAACGTGGCTGTATGCACATGTAGAATATCTATATGCACTCTAATTTCTAATTCATTGAACATTGTAAAATTGAGCACTACTCAACTCAAAGGAAGCAATGTAAATATTCGATTTGGTGTGGTGTGGTCTTTGATCTCGCAGATAAATGAGTAACATTACATGTGCGTCCATCCTCAGCCTAGTTTTTATTAGGTTTGAGGTTGCTTAGCACTGATTGTTGTTGTGAGTGAATATTGTCCAAGGTCTGCTACCCGGGAGGGTTTTCATTCTGGATGATCCAGTTTATCCCCTCACTCGCCCAGTCACGAGAGAGTGTTTACAAGCCCTGAATTACAAATAAAGCACGATTTATTTTATTGCTTTCGGCTTTTCGACAATGGGGTTTCATTCATTTCATTTTTGTGACTGGACTGGATCCGTATGTTTCTGTGTCCTCTTGGTGAAATCTCATTAAGATTCATCATGCATATTGTACGTGGCTAATAGAGTGTAAGACCAATCTAATTGACCAAAACATTTCCCATGCCTGCCAAGATTGGAGAGTGATACGGATCCCTTCGTTGTCCTTCTCGCTCGCTTTCACATCAAGCTATCAGTAGTAGCCCTACAATGTAATAATAAACACTTACTATATGGATTACTATATACGTAGTGCGTATGAATGTACATGGGTCCCTTCACATTAGACAACATGACCCAGGGATATAATATGTGTTGTTTACTTGCTTCATCTGCTATCTGTAACACTTTGATCTTTATGCAAAAATTTAATGAAATCTATTTAGACCTCATTTCGCATCGTCATTCTTGATGAAATAAGTATGTAAGCCTTTAACAATATTTTGGCTTATTTGAATTGGTCACCTTGGCAGAAATATAAATGTATATAGGCACCCCTTGCATGTAATCGATACTTTCATAGATTGCGATATGCGTGGTGTAAATATGTAGAATACTTATTACGTCCATTCTTGCATAATTGCATGCGATATCTAGGAGCATAAGAAATATTTATGATTATACAGTTCAAGTTATTATTTCCTCCATCAATCAACGCATCATATTCTTCCCTGGTAAATTATAGGAATTACACGATCGAGATACTCCTTAATATTGAAAAACGAAAGTCATGATGCTTCCTCAAACGAGAATGGGAAAATCAGCTCAATTGTTGAAAAATGTGAGTCATAAAACTCATCTGAAAGGGGCCACGTGCCTGGTGATATGCAGAGTCCCATTCAAGTCTCACTAATTAAACTCTGGTTCGTCGGCTTAGCTCCAATTTATATACTTTTTTTTATAAATGTGTGTCCCTTGAATTCAATTAAGTAGGATCATATCCACTGTGCTTCACTTATTAGTTGTTGGCTGGCTCATTTTCAACAACTATTGTAAAACATTAAGGGGAAAGAATCGCGTCAACCTACAAATCTCAATGGCTTTTCATTTTCACGTCCTGAATGAGATGTATCGTTTTGTAATCCATCATTGTTGCCTATATCCAGGGTTCGGAAAAACCCAGGGTTTTAATCAAAAAGTAACGACCCAGGGGTTTTAATGGGTTTTAATGGGTTTTTTGGGTTTTAATGGGTTTTATTGGGTTTTATTAGGTTTTACATAAGTAATACATTGAACAACAATTTTCACTACTATTGCAATCCAATTTCAATTAATATGCAAATCCTACTTGTCCATGTTAGAATTTGTATCCGTTTCGAAATAGTCCTGTTTAACTGATCATAGTTTAATACTTTATGAGAATATATATTACCTCTTTCTCGAATACTTCCTCTCATCATAATGAAATCCAAGTTTAAAAGTTTTTAAAATTTAATATTTCAATGCGATCTTAACGTGTATTATCAATTCTGGAAAAAATCGAGTACTTATGAACAATGAAAGTACGTATGTATTATGATCGAGAATATAATAAGTGCTTTTTGCAGACACACTTCTTTTGCTCATAATAAGGTACTTCGCTGTCCATAAGTACTCGATTTTTCCAGAGGTGATAATTAAGATCGCCTTGAAACATTTTAAAAAACTTTATAAATTAAAAAAATACTACAGTATTTTGTTTAATTTATTCGCTGAGATGAGAGGAAGTATTCGGGAAAAAAGTATTAATTATGACAGCAAAATGTAAATTAAATGTAATTAAATTATGTATGCTCACTTAAACATACCTCGTTCCGAAATTATTATTTTTAAATATTTTTGTCACTTGAAACTTGTAATGGCACTCGCTGATTTATTCCTGGTTTTTAAAACTTACAGTGGTTTTTAAAACTTACAGTATTAATCAAATAAACTGCTTAGCTGCCATGAAACAACTTCGTCTAACGTACGACAGCTGTTTTCAGCTTTTAGAATATAGTTTTAAGCTGAAACACAGTTAAAACCCATTAAAACCCGAATAAAACCCATTAAAACCCAAATAAAACCCATTTAACATGGTAAAACCCAATGGGTTTTATTCGTTAACAACCCATTAAAACCCATTAAAACCCAAAAAACCCAACCCAATAAAACCCTGGGTCGGAATACCCTGCCTATATCACTCAACTTGGAAAATTTATTCCTCTTGGATCAGCCCTGGTTTTAAGCAATACAAAAGGAAGTTGCATTTTCTGTTGCTACATATTCCATGTCGTTGATGACGTTAGAGATCATTGCGTAAATGTACTTATGTACGAGAGACTGTATAAATATTGAAATAAGTACCAAAAAGACTGAATACTGGATATCTCAAATAAATCAATTTATATGAAACTATGTGTCTAAAGTTTGACCACTCTAAATTTAGGTCCAATTGGTCATCGCCGTTCACCTCTAATCAAGATGAAAAGTACAATCGCACGTAATCATCCAAACAACCACAACGATTCCAGTCGGACCAGCAATTCATCTCATATAATTCAACAGGTAAATAAATAAATAAATTCACTCTGTCGTTCCCGATAAATAAATCACCTCCACCAAAGTTCATTAATAAAATGTACAAAGACCAAGCAACATATACATATGTCGTTCGTTTGCTGTGCAGTCACTTGAATATGGAGGACAAGTCCCCTCAAGCAGTTCTACGAGCAGTGAGGATGAGATTCCGGATCACACTTCACCCGAGACGGAGGGAGAGGAGGAGGAACAAGAGGAGGAAGAAAATACATTACACCATCACAAAAATCAGTCCTCTCCTGGTCCAAGAACACTGTCATCATCATGCCACAGAAGACGAGGAGGTAGTCAGAGTCAGTCCGAAGATGAGAAAAGCGGGGATGAATTGGATGCGGAAGTCAGCAAGTCTCTTATTTCCGTGGACAACTTTGCAAGCAGCAGTCATAATGGGTTCTCGACTGAAGGTGGAGATATGGGTCAGGATCACCATCATAATCATTCATTATCTGATGTACCTCCCTCCAGAAAACTGAGACGGAGTCGAACTACTTTCACCACTTACCAACTCCATCAACTCGAGAATGAATTCTCGAAAACTCAGTATCCGGATGTGTTTACAAGGGAGGAGTTGGCCATGAGACTGGACCTCAGTGAAGCCAGAGTACAGGTAAAAATGATCGCATCTCGCATAGCATCCATGCATATTATTTCAAGACACATGATATGTATCTTGTAGGTTACACATTATGTAACACGTAGATACACTCGATAAATGTGACATTCTCCCAAATTTCATAATCAGGCGATTATCGACTAATGTGAAAATTTTTTCAGTTTTCTACAAGTAAAATACGGGTAAAATTAGCAGTAATAAATAAACAAGAATACGTTTCTCAGATTACCTATCTCTTCAGTAATTGACGAAGTAGCCACATATACCCACATATATCATTCATCATTTTATTTATTTAAAAAATATATCAAAAATTATTCACACGGAATAAGTACTCTAATCCCACTTGCAACAACGGGAAGGCACCATTCAAATCAATTCTTAATAAATCACAGAGGACTGGCAACAGGAAGGAAGTTCGCTTACTTAGCTAGTCAAAGTGGGTAAAAGAGAATTAAGGGCTGACAGCACAAGAGAATAATTGTATGGATCATGAGAAATGAAATGATGACACTTTACACAAGATCCAATACATAATAAAGCACGTCTAATTTGTACGGGCAAAGCAATAATTGCAGATTGAATTTAGAATAGCCTCTACATGGCTAAAATAACTAACTATCCAGTAGATAAATACACATATAAATATGCGCTTAGATGTATATATACATACGTATTTCTAATCCTAAATAAGTGCGTACAAATATGTTGACGCACGACACTACGGCTTTCTCTTATTCTCGGTTTTATCGAATTTGGATACTGTGATATTACAAATCAGTTTTGCTTTTACCAGCTTCTTTTACAGTCTTATTTGTGCCACATTTCTTCCTTTATACTCGTATTCAGTTCGTTTCAAATGAATTACATCGTCATCATCTTCTTCTTTTTGTCAGATAATGCACACATTCTGTATTGTTGCTGTATCTGAGAATTTTGTGCGGGGGACGACCGTCTATGAGGACAATTTGTCCCAAATTACGAGTCTTCATCTCCCCCTCCAACCCTCTTTATCATCATCAGCAGCAAATGGTGCATTGTGATGCAGAGTACTCATTTCCTTACTCAATTTGCCAAATTATCCTTTTAGTATTCAAACATGCCACTTGAACTCCATTTGGGTGGTGGACCATAATGACTGCCTAATTGGTTCAAATTATTATGCCTCTTACGCCCGACTTTGGATGAGTGTTGGGAGTTGTTTGTATTTGAGTCACTTGTAATGAGCCCGAACAATTAGTTGAATTAGCTCGCTGGGTGGGTTTCAGAACTGTAAATATGCACATTATATACTGAAATGGGTCGCTACTTCTATTTCAAACAGTATTTAACTTCTAACAAGTTAAAACACTGTAATCAAATGAATTTGAATTGGTGTTGATTGGTTTACTTAATCAGCAATTAAATCACGTATGTACAAACAGTAAGACACGTATTTAAATATCTGCTTATTTAAAAGGAAGAGAGACATTGAAAATGATGGAAGGATAAGCTCGAATAATTCTGTAGAAAAACAAGTGCTTGCAACAGTTTCACAAATAGGTGCGGATATTTGTGCATGCATTTAGCAGTTACCGAAAAAATGTGATGGACGGGTCACAATCACAACGAGTCGCGAGCTGATGTCGGGGTGAGGAGATGACGAAGGGTGTGAAATTTGATACGCCGACTTGATTTAAAACCACGATAGCTAAATAACGGTCGGCCAATCTTGTTCACATGACCCCGTCCATTGACAAGAGAGATGAATGGGGACAAGAAAAGACCGACACTATGCAGAAGCAAATCTATAATATCAAAGAAACAAATAAGTAGCGAGATTGGTTACAGTATAACAAATTGTCGTTTATTTGTGTGTGTGCTAAGTGTTCAAGCTGAATTGTTATCCAGCTGGTTTGAAGTGGCCCAAATTTGACCATTTATATGTTTGTGAGAAACAAGCCTCTTGAAATTTTGAAAGACTTTTGTTGTGAAGTTCTTGTTGAAAAGATTGAAGGAAGCTGGGGATTAATGACCGCAATTTATACCTAACCATTTGTATGCATATATAGACATTAACACATGTAATTCATACATATGTGCATGACACAATTGACACATTCATATTCCAGCTTCTAAAGAATTATTTGCTAGAATAGCTAAATTGATACTTTTAGATATTTCGTCTCAGATTTAATTATGTCCTTAGCATCCGTGCTGAATTTGTAGAATGATATTTTATCTAAATTGTTCCAAGATTCGCACTAACGAAACTGATAACCTGATTTTCTGATTATGCAATTTTTCTTTAATTCAAAAAGTATCGCTGCATCGTGAGGCATGCAAATTGCTGATAATTTAAATGATAATGGTAATTTAATGGCAGCTGTTGTAGTATTTTTGTCTAATTGTTTTTCTTCTATTTTTCTCTAGGTGTGGTTTCAAAATCGTCGTGCAAAATGGAGGAAACGCGAAAAGGGAATGGACCCTTCTTCTGGAGGCCACTCTCGATCTTTGGACAATTCGCCCCACAGTCACGTCAACAATGGTTCCTCCAACCATGTCAGCACAGGGATGAGTGGTAGGCTTCCCTATTCCCTGAGCAACCCCCCGGACCTCCACCTCCAAGGCCATCATCCCACATTTCCCAGTCACTTGGGTCTCAACGAATTCCTTTGGAGTGCAGGACTCCATGGGGCTGGTCTGTTTCCACCCTCACTTCTCTCCGCCTTTCCCGGACTCGCGGCTCAAGCGTGGACCCCAAAAACGCCTCATCCCCCGTCCTCGCTTTTTGCACAGTACATGATGGGCAGCAGTCCGCCGTCAGTCATGTACCCCTTTGACCTGTCCAGAGCCAAGGGGCAACTTGACCAGGGTTTAAATCTTAGCCCCCACTCCCGAGGAGGTTCCGAGTCTAGCAACTCTCCCACAAGTGGAAGGCGCAGCAGTGGACACATTAGTCCGGCAGAAGAAGTCATCAATTTGGTCAAGAAGCCAAAAAGAGACGCCGTGGATGATGAGTTTGATGACAAAATTAACAAACAACATAGTATCGACTTTCTCCGAGAGCAGGCAAAACAGTCCATGATTATTCAAAGGGGATCACCAACTACTTCGGAGTCTTAATTTTCATGTATTCCTTGCATTTATGACTTCATAAATACCTAAATGTGGAATACATTACATTTAACGTCGACATGACTTGGCTTGAATGCTTTGTTTGGGGTGTGAGCTTAGAAACACATGAAAACAAGGTGTTACTGTTTAGCCAAATATAATATGCACTTTTTTGCATGTCGACTTTTTTCTGACCTGCGCATATTATATTTGGCAAACTATAGTAAAATTTAGTTATCCATGCATAACGTACTTACCTTCGTTTCTTGCACAATTAGTGAGTAATGAGAGTATGTAGTGAAACAGTTTGTAGTGCAATATTCTGTGTTTAGTAGCCCCTAGTATTGATATGTATATGTACCAACCTCCCCAGCAAAAATCATTATCCACTTTCACCTTAATCGGGGTAAACATTGTATTTAATCTCAAGTGATTACTTATAAGATGATTCACTGTATTCATAAACGCATACCCTATGAATATATTGGTTAACCAATTCTGCATACATACACATTTTTACTTGTTATTATTATCTGTTTTGTTTTGTGTAGTTTTAAATCCTTGTTTGAGACTGTGATGAATAAAATAAATTAATATCACCAAGAAAAAATTTCATTTACTTATTTATTAGACAACCAGCAAAGCCATTAAGAAATTTGGGGCAACAGGAATAAGAATATAAGAAATGGGAGAAAAGAAGACAACTCCACAAAAGAAAGAAAAAAGATATTGCTCAAAAGTCAACACAAAGTTCTTTGTCTTCCAGCAAAGTGAAAAATCATCCCACTTTTATTGAGAAAGTGATTTTTGATTCGAGTGAAATTGCAGTTATTTGTTTATACGAATGATTAAATTGAGATTTGCTGGTCCCATCCACAACTCATAAAAGAGTGCTTTTACATATTCTACAAATCTTTTTTCGGGAAGGAAAAGGGAGGAAAATTCATTTGGAGTCTAAATTTTGTGCTCGAGAGATCAAATAAAGTGGGCAGGTGCATAAAAATTGTTTCAAATTGAACAGACTTTTTGAGTCGCATTCTGACACGAGTTCAGAGTAACTCGGGTTGGATAACCAGGGTTGACGAGCATCACTCATCGTCATCATAATGTGTGTATGAATATGTAATAAAAGGAAGAGTGCATAGAGGCTGGGAGACAAGGTATAAAAATAAATATAAACTGCACGCTCCTCTCGTTGGGCTCTTCTTATGCACGATGCACGTTTGACTGTGTGCGTATAATGGGTAGGAATGAGTGAAAGTTGTTTGTTGGTGAGGTTGCTGCTGTTGCGGACTTTATTGGACTGGGAGAAATTGCTTTCTCAAGGCCTCAGGGTGACCAATTTCATTGAATGCTTTCCCCGTTTTTATTCGTTTCTTTTCCCATTAGACTTCCCCATATTTACCCAAGGAATCATCATTCTGGATTTTTGTGGCTGCATACGGCGGACAGGGTTACGTTCTTGGTTGGTTGGTTTCACTGTTGTTGGGCTGCCCGTGGGGTAGGCAAATAATTCGTGAAACCAAATCCTAGCCAAACCACTTTCCCAATATTGGCAACTCCCTCATCCCAAGTGCAAACACCATGGTTACGAAGCCAAATGAAATTATTTGAAAATCAAGATGACAAATCCTCTTCAAATGTAATAAAAACTATTTTCTCGCGTTGTTCAGCCAATCGCCCTTTAATGCTTTTTATTAGAATCCACTCGCCTCTCCTCCGGCCATAGGAAGTCTCTGATTGAGACTCGCTTCAATTCACTTTGCCAACTTTATTGTCTCCTCATGTACACACCCCCGCCCACCAAAATACTCAAAACTATTACATACACACTCCCCAACTACCAACAGTATCTTAACAGAATTAATTAAACTCAACATTCAATTACCGCAGTCGGAGGAGACGAGTATATTACCATTATACGTGATTATATACTGCCACCATGCATTGCTATCATCACGGCGAAGGTGAAGATGAGGATGAGTTTCGCAAAACGCAGGAGAAAACAACTCAACAGAACAAAGCCCCCGTCGCAAAGAAGAATCCGCGAGGCATGGACATTTCCATTCGGTTTTTTGACAACTATAATCGAACCATGGACAGGCTCAAAAAATCATTGGATGCCATCAAAGAAAAGCAGCATGACCAGGTACATATTTCTCTGCACACGTTTTTGTAAAATATAATATTATTAGCAATATGGTTAGTTTTGTTATGCGTTGATTGATACCTGTTAGGATGCAGCCGTTAACTTTGGCGTGGGGTATGTTGAGAATAAGAAGATCACGCATGGAATTTCCATTGGTGGTGTGTGCAGTGGAGTGTATGGTGCAACTGATATCGTCTATAGTAAAAGATCTCAGGTATATACTCACAATATATACTCCATAATTAAAAAATGCATATTTAATACATTTCCCACCCGTAATAAATAAATGAACTGGTCATTGAAATTTCACCATGATTATGCTTCATCGTGATTAGGAATACTTGATCGTTACAAAAATGGGAGACGTTCTTCGCTTCGACTGGGCTGGAAGCAAGCTGGGAATGAGCACTCCGAGCAAGAAATTCACAAAGTTCATCCACATTTATCAAACCGGTCACTACATTTGCTACAACCCGGGTAAAAGCTTCTTTTACATTTTTCGGGAAGATTGGACGGTGGCACTCGACACAGTGGCAATATCTCGCATCGATAAAATGTATTACGGAGGAAGAAAGACGGAAGAAAATGCCTTTGAATTTTTCATCGTGAGCGGGGCAACTCTAAACGTAAAATTTTACAGCAAACACGGCGACAGCTTTTTTATGATTCTCACTTCCCTTGAGCAAAAAATAAAAATAAACTGAATTATGTCTCTTCTTCTTAGAAATATTCTTACAACCCAGCCAGTAATGTCATCAGTTTGCAAGACGTCCTAAAAATGTCAGACATTGAGGCTGAAAATGCAGAGATTGAAGAAGTCGCGTTTGATCAGCCGATGGACGACAAGAAGCAGTGGATTTATTTGACGTAATACATACGCCATATGTGTATGTAAAGTGGCATAAAATATACTTTTTTTGAAAGGTTCAAGCAACACGCATCCATTATTGATGTCACAGGAAGAGTTCACGGTACGAAGGTGAGAATAATTAATTTCTTCTTGTAGAGTGTGTACTTCTTAAAATAGGAAGCGAGTGACAATATCATAATAAGTTTTCCATTGTTCAATGTTTAGAAACACCTCCATAAGCACCGAATCAGTGCAATTGTTGCATATGGATCGTCCGAATTTGTGGTAACTGGTGATGAAAAAGGCATTTGTAAGAATGATGTTACTTGTCACTCAAAAACAACTTGAGCAATATTGGGTGTTGAGTAAAAATGACTCATGTTGTTAGTAAAAATGTGGGGAACTCGATGGGCGCTTATCACAGAAATTCATCCGCAAACAGCCAAAATCACTCATCTAATTGAACATCCGAATGGACGTGCTGTACTTTCATTTTCAGCAGACCAGACAATTTTTGCATGGAGTTTAGACAGCAAACTTAAGGTCTGTCTGTAATAACTACGAATGAATACATATCAAAATATTATACGGAGATAATAAAAATAGCGTGATTTTTAATTATTAAACAGTTAGAATCCATGAAATGTCCTGAAATAGTGGAAAGAATTGCAATAAACACGGAAAGAAAGGCGTTTATAATTTCTGGACCAAGAAAATTGGTGTTATTCAAGATGGACGTATTATTTTTTCCACTTTCCCAAATGAGGTAGTTTTTAGTAGCTTTTACTGTGGATGAAGTTCTAACCCTGCAGACTTATTACACCGCTTTGTAGCATTAATTTCACGACGTCACCGGTCAAAAAAATTTTTTCCTCCAAACTGGTCCAAAATAAAAGTCTAGCATGGGAATAGTATAGAAAAATTATTTTTAGCGTTCTATGACCCCTGGGTCATGAATTAAGGGCCCCTGAAGGGTCAAATAGCGTTCCCTGATAACCCCATGCAAATGGGGTATCAAATTAATCCCCTGGACCAGGGGAACCAGAAAAATATTTTTATAAATTTTTATGACCCTTGAGTCGTGAACTAGGAGCCCTTGAAGGGTTAAATATCATTCCCTCACAACTAAAGGCAAGTGGGGTATCAAATTAATCCCCTGGACAAGGGGAACCCAAAAAATATTTTTCTGGATTTTTTTGACCCTCAGGTCAAGAGTTAAGGGCCCCCGAAGGGTCAAAACAGTAACCATGGTAACCCCATGCAAGTGGGGTATCAAATTAATCCCCTGGCAAAGGGCAAGCATAAAAATATTTTCCTGATTCCCCTGGTCCAGGGGATTAATTTGATACCCCATTCACCTTAGTTACCATGGTTACTATGTTGACCCTTCAGGGACCCTTAACTCTTGACCTATAGGTCAAAAAAATTCAGGAAAATATTTTTATGCTTGCCCTTTGCCAGGGGATTAATTTGATACCCCACTTGCATGGGGTTACCATGGTTACTATTTTGACCCTTCGGGGGCCCTTAACTCTTGACCTGAGGGTCAAAAAAATCCAGAAAAATATTTTTTGGGTTCCCCTTGTCCAGGGGATTAATTTGATACCCCACTTGCCTTTAGTTGTGAGGGAATGATATTTAACCCTTCAAGGGCTCCTAGTTCACGACTCAAGGGTCATAAAAATTTATAAAAATATTTTTCTGGTTCCCCTGGTCCAGGGGATTAATTTGATACCCCATTTGCATGGGGTTATCAGGGAACGCTATTTGACCCTTCAGGGGCCCTTAATTCATGACCCAGGGGTCATAGAACGCTAAAAATAATTTTTCTATACTATTCCCATGCTAGACTTTTATTTTGGACCAGTTTGGAGGAAAAAATTTTTTTGACCGGTGACGTCGTGAAATTAATGCTACAAAGCGGTGTAATAAGTCTGCAGGGTTAGAACTTCATCCACAGTACACCTATGTTTAATTTTATATATAATTATTGCAAAACAAGCAGTAGGTAAATGTTGTGTGTGTGCAGAAAGCTACATGTAAATATATAAATACAAGGCTATATTGATACAGTGCACCTCTAAGCAGCGTGGGATTAACGTGGAACCCAGAATTTCCCATCAGAACCGTCGTCTACACCCAAGACAACGCCGTAAGAATAATTAACCCTGTGTCAGGTCGAATACTTAAATCTGCACTTGTCAACCCACCCAAACCACAATTAAGCAGTTTAGTGTACATACCTCAATATGGTAAGTATTATTCACTTGTCACACAAATACTTAATTGTTAGAATACATTTAAACGCTTCCTACCCTTGGTTAAAGAAACAATCTACGTCCTGAAGACGTCAGCAGAGGATCCAAACTCACTGGAAATCCAAATTTTTGATGGCACACAGAACCCATGCCGAATTAAGGAGACTTGGAGTGAGATGAAATGGGATACTTCAGTGACAGCAATTGCTTTGTTTGATTATCATAAAAGTCTCATTGTTCCCGAAAAAGGACTGCTCTTCACTGCAAGTAAGTATTTCTACTTAAACGGCTAAATTAAATCAAACTAAATATTTATGTTATTTTGCTAAATAAGTACATACTGATAATTGCTTTTGCTTCACATCACCCATAAATAGAAAAACAAGCTGAAATTACAGAAGCTGTGACTTTCCTTATTGCTGGAACGCGAGACGGTTGTCTATGTAGAATTGACCCAATATCCGGTCACCTTGAATACAAAACTGAAGTAAAGCTTTCAGTTGACAATAAATATGATGAAATGTATATTAGGCAACGTACATATTTATTTTGCCTACTTTTTACAGTGTCACAAGGGCCAAGTGAACCAAATTGAGATAAACCCGGAACTCAGCCAATTTATTAGTTTGGGAGCTGAGCCCTCGCTCAGATTGTGGAAGGTAGAGTTGTCCAAAGAGGAGCAATTCGTGCCCCTACTCGACATTTCATGGAAATATCCGATAAGACATGTCGCCCATGTTCGAGAAGTTCTAGCCTTCGCATTATCACATCATGATTCTGGCAGCCACAAAGTTGTAATGTTCAACACATCTGAAACCGGTAATAATAAATTAGGCAAACAGGAGCCAATTTCTGCTAATCTCAATAAAAAGCAAAATCAACTTCATTCACAGAGTTTGCATTAATTTCCGTAATGCCAATGGAAAAGGAGATTCAAATTTTTATTTGGTTTGGTACTGTTACATTCCTTAGAACGGCACGACCACAGGCAGCACTTTGCCCATGCTAAGGAAATCCTCTCACTCTCGTCATGCAGAGAATTGATGCTGTTTTGCTCAGCTTCAAAAGATGAGACGATTCGAGTTTGGAATGAAAAAGCAGAACTTGTTCGGGTAAGGATTTGCTTTGGAAACTTAGCATAGGGAAAAAATAAGATTAACATTAAAATTTGTGTAGTGTATTGTAATATGGTGCAATTAATTTGCAACTTCCTCATGTAGCTTCTTGTTCTCAACTGGTGCCCTTCGTGTGCTGGATTTGGAACGAGGCAGGGGGATATTCTGGTCGGAATTGATAACAATCTTCACGTGATACCCGCGGACAAATGTACATATGTCAGACATTCCCTATAATGCATTCACATGTAGTTTTCGAATATTATGACCATGAACGCTGACCATGGTTGCAGACTTGTCGGTAATCTACAGGAATCGGGCCCTGATGGACGGACTCACAGCGGGGGAGAAGGAGGGGGCGACTCCACTGAATGCGGCGAGGTCGGGCCAGGACCCGAGGATGTACCTCGTTCTTGAGGAGGAGGATCGGTTTGAGAGGGAAGCCAAGGAACGGGAGAAGGAGCGGGACAAGGACAAAAGCAAAAAGCCTGCCGAACATGCAAAGGAGCAGCGCCGGAAGCAGAGCGAGACAGACTTTATGGAAGAAAAAATCCCTCCTATCGGACCATTTCATGAGCCCAAAGACTCCCAGAGGTCGCAAGACTACGCCAAGTACGCCTTCTTGGAAGAAGACCTCAAACAAATTGTAGAAGGCAATCACCAGTTTTCTATCTATGTGCCAGACTTTCGAAAAATGACAAAAAAGCAGTTAGACGACTATGGGAAGACTATTTTCCCTGAAGATGGGAACAAAAGAAAAATGTTTGCCTCCGAGTCGAGGATTGATTGTTTGCATGAGATGGAGAAACATGCCAAAGACATTGGTAACAACGAAGGCAACATTTGAACAGGCCCGATTTCTGCAAACTAATTGATTACGCAAAGTAGGTATTCTTGTACATTAGTGTGCAATTTAAGTGTAATGACCTGGGGCATTTTGCATACCTTGATTTACAAATATAAATATGACAATAAATTTAAATAAGAGCAGCTCCATACAGTGAGATGCCTCAGTCATTAACCACGGCAAATTTTGTTGTATGCAAATCTTGTAAAACTGTACGTAGCTACATATGTGATTTTAAGATGATGCGGAAGATATAGTCAGTGGTCGACATTTACTGCCCAGTGTCCCGATTTCCATACTAGAGAATTTCTTTATGGAAATGAGACGTACTTATGATGTGACAGGAGAACCTAAAATATATGTTGGCATTTATTCTCTCTAATAAGCAAAGAATGCCGGCTTTTTCTTATTTCCAGTGCAGTTCTCTTCTGTCAGCTTCCCATCAACCATACATTGATTAGTGAGTGAGCAATGAGGAATATGTACTTTCCCTCAAAATATTAAAAGTGGATCGTAGTGAATCTGGATCACTAATTTCAAATACTCACAAAATTGGTTGTGCAGCAGTTGTTTTTGATAAATGCTCACTATATTGCTGACACCACCCCCATTAACTCACAAATACACATATACATAGTCACGACGAAAATCGTCTTTTCCCTGGTGTAACTTTAATATTTAATGAACATAACTAAAAGCGCAATTTATTTTGGACTTATTTGCTCGTCCAATAATTTATTTACATAAAAAACAGTAAAGGTCTACATATAATAAACTTTTAAACATTTGGTGAGTACTTTGTTACATAATGCCATTAATAATATAGATTAATATGCACGTATGATATGCTGAGCTGACCATTACTGAATTATCTAGGTGCTGTGTAAGTCATATAAATTATTTAGGTTAAATCAAATCCTTTGATTCAAATCCAAATCAAGTCCACCATGATTTAATTTTGTATAATTCATGAATGTTGTGAGGGGGAAAGTGGAAAACGTTAAACTATGTAAATACAAATACGATTCCTTAATTTAATTCGTAGTGTGTTGACGTTCATAGCTTTCATATCTTCCAGCAAACCAGTCCAGCGACTTTATGGAGCCTAAAAAATTTCGCTGAGTTAAAAACAAAATTAACTGAAAATTATGATGCATCATGATACCAACAAGCACTTTGCAGAGTAAAAGCACTAGATTTTCCATTTTCACTCGGGGTGAGTTGGGTCGCCCATCTCTCTCGCGCCACCCAAACCATTTGTCTCTCTCTCTCCTTTTTCCTGCATGTGTGTTTTCCTCGGGAATCAATTCTTCCTCGGTGTTTTCTCCTTTTCTGACCTGCTGGCTTCTGCGCTGCGTGACATTTCGTCGTCCCACAACAACAAGAGGAATCCTTCTCACCCACCCACTGTCCTCCTGTCCAAGAAGAAAGGTCACCACAGGTCACAAGCAGGGAAAAGGAAAAAAATAGGGAATAACACGGAGAGTAAACATTGGGTCCAATTAAGGAGTTGGCTCCTTTTTGACATTGAAGGAACCCACTTTCTTGGGTTTTGTGATAAGTAGATAGAATTAGACTAAATATAGACTTTTGTTGACTGCAATCATGTAATCATAATAATTTACATTAGCAGCGAGTCGTTTCTCATTTGTTGACGGGGATTTGCACCTTCGATCGTGCAGGCGAGCGAGGCGTTCGAGAGTTATATGGAGGGAAGAGGTTGTGTTGCAATATGTCGGTTGGGGGGTGTTCTGCGGTGGCTTAGAAAAGACTGATAAAAGGCATATCATACCGGTCTAGTCATTTTCCACTAATCTGGTCTTAACTGATCTGAAGAGTACCTACCTCTGATAGATACTAGATTATACTACATACTTGACACTGTATATTCGTTGCTGATAGATAGAGTAAATTTCAATATATAGTTCAAAAAGACAACTATCCTAGTCATCCAGCAATTGAAAAGACGGACAGAGAGGTTCGGGGGTGGGTGTATGTATGTAGTTTGGTCAAGCAAAGAGGTGATGAACACATTTTATGATAATTTGTTTAAGCATCATATTATTGCTGTGACTGATACATAATATTGCAAATATGTAGTGCCTCTTATTAAAGTTTCTTTAATACTTTTATATATTTTTGCAGGAACATGAAGTCTTGGTTGAGACATGGTTCCAGATCGCCGAGTCTGAGCTCAAGTGGGGATTGGCAAGAAGATGAACAATCAATGTCGTCAAAATATTCTTTCAGTCACAATTCCATCACTGAAAATGGCTCAAACAGTGGTGGTGTGCTGCTTCACCACCAAGAGCCAGTAATCTCACTGGTAGAATGCCAAAACAATTTGGCTGAATCAGTCCAGGATTCCACTTCAAATGGTGCATGCGGTCCTAGCAGTGGGGGCGGAGGGACCGGCAGGCGGCAGTATTCTGCAGAGTACAAAGACTACGAGCCCGAAGATGGCAAAGATGATAAAAAAAGTTATCATCACAACAACAATCATTACCGCTACAATAATCAACAAAACTGTTCAACAGGATTTTATGGACAGCAGTACGGTAATAATAACAATGGAAGGCGAAACAATCTCTATAATCACCGCCAATACGGCAACAACAATGGATATGGAGGAGGATATAACAATCAACGGAGACAGTACACCAACAACAATAATTTCAATAACTACAACGGTTTTCGAAATTATAGGAATAAGTAAGCATACGTTTATTTATTTATTACTTAATATAACTCATTCTGTAGTTACTTGTTTGGTGTATCAAAGTAGATTTACCTTGTAGAGTGTTTATTGTTGAAATTTGTTGTAAATTTTCCAACATTTGTTTGTTGCATTTTGCTTCAGTCTTAATTTTTTTGTTATTATTTTCCGACCATAACAGCAGGAGACAATTTCAACCTCATACTGATTACTACCACCACCACCACCACAACAACAATCACCAGTATCACAATAATTATCCCCACGACAGTACTAATAATGGCTACTACCCCCGGGGTGGCACAAGGGGGTTCTCAGATTTTTACACTAATAGTTATCGTCGAAACAACAACAGTGGAGCAGGTACTCCTCTGTCTTCTCCCGAATTCGAAGAGTTTCTCCCATGGGCACCTAAACGTGGGTGTGCTCCTCTAGAAACCGGAACCTTCTACACGGGAGGAAACTACTGCAACTCAAATTCAAGGAATTGTAGCCCGGACAATAGCCCTACAAGCGACATTAGCGGAGGGTTTCCAGTTACCGGGCAAACACGTGACATTGTTCTTAATAACGGTAGCATCATAACAGCCCAGAACCTTGGACCTTATGATTATTTGGTCGGGAATCAGCAGCAGAGCATCAGCAATAATAACAGCGGTTTTCCCTACTCTCCATACACGGGGAACTATTTGTATGGTTGTACTTCTATCAGCACTGCAAGTGCTTGCGAGCGAGAATCAGCAAGCAATAAAAGTATTATGGTAACTCAAGTAATGGGACCTCCTCCTCCTCCCCCTTCCGTGTCAACCACATCATCCCGAGCTGCGAGTCGCACCGATAGCCCTGCTGCAGAGACAGCAACGGACTGGCCTGATGACTCTACGGATGGTAGCGACTCTGAAGGCGCTGGCACCTCATTGAGTACCAGGTCTCAATCTCCCGAAGAATATACTGATCTAACATTGTCAAATGATGCAAGCTTCAGGTGTGACATTTTGTGAACGTTTTGTTTGTCATTATTCTGCTTTTAATTTGCTTTTAATATGGATTTCCGTGTTTATTGATGCCTCATCTACAAATAATAATTACTGTCACATGAATAAATTTTGGACACACATTCCTTAAATGACTGAATATTTTCTTCCCTTTAAGATTTTACGACAACTTTGGCGTCATTGGGAAGGATTTTTCACCAACAACATTTTGTCTTGGTCTCCCAAAGGGTCGATTTCCTCACGTATCTTTCCCACGAGAATGGTTTGAGGACTTGGAACCAGATGAAATTATCCAACAATTCAGCAAAGTTGTCGACCCAAAAGAAAAACCATTCAATGTTATTGTGGAGAGCACCTTTACGGCGGTAACACTTTTTATTGATTAACTTAATTCATGTGATAATTATGTAAATATAATCATAAATCATCCTATACACATACATATATAGTTGGACGTGGCCATTTGGACCAAGTTTGTGGAGAATCAACAAACAATGGAAACGTTCCGAAAGAAGGTTGAACTGTGGAGAGATGTATACCGTTTGGTCCGATTCATGAACTTTACTCCGGAATTCAAATATGACGTAATTTTTGCCCAAATATTTTTATGCAAATATTTTTTTTTCTGTCTCGATGTTAAACTGACTTTTGTGGTTTATATATTAGGCAAGAAACTTTCCATTTTTCGGACTGCAAGTGGTTGGTTCAACAATGTCAGGATTTGGTAGTAATGCTAGCGATGTAGACATGTGTTTGGTTATCAGAGACACTGAAGTGGATCAACGTTACGAGGCTGTAGAGCGACTTCAGGCTTTGTCACAAACCTTGAGCTCTCTTCCATTCGTGGAGAATGTTGAGATGATTTATGCCAAAGTACCAATTCTCAAATTTCGGGACTCTAATCGACGACTTGATGTTGATCTCAACTGCAACAATTTCGTGGGAATTCGTAACACTCATTTGTTGTACGCTTATGCACAAATGGATTGGCGCTTGAAACCACTGGTGCTCATAGTCAAGTTGTGGGCTCAATTTCATGGCATCAACGACGCCAAGATGATGACAATTTCAAGCTACTCTCTCGTATTAATGGTAATCCATTTTCTTCAGCATGGGCTTGATGAGCCGGTCCTTCCCAACTTACAGAAAGAATATCCAGAGAAATTCAGCAATTCCACTTCAATCCTGTTGATAAAAATTCATGAAGAAATGCCGACATGGAAAAGCAAGAATGAAATGGGTCTCGGGGAGCTGCTGATTCTTTTCTTGGAATATTATTCTAGAAAGTTTGAGTATGTCGTTTGATACTTGTACATGTATTTTTTCCACATACTTTGAAAATGGGAAGAGATTTAAAAATTATCTTTGTTGGAAATTTGCAGTTACACGAGGAACGTGATCTCAGTTCGTGTGGGTGGTACAATTACTATGCGACAGGCGGCTAACCATAAATCTAACAAGAACGACTTTCATTCATGGAAGCTATTATGTGTGGAAGGTATACCATGCATGCTCAACTATATAATACAATGTTGTTCTTGTAATTCTGATTAGGAATTGTAATACTACAATCATTGTTTTATTGCCTTTATTTTAGAACCGTTTGATCGTACCAATACTGCCCGGTCAGTTTACGATAGGCTGATCTTTGAGAGAATCATTGTCATATTTTACGTATCCTGGCAAAGATTGCTGGTAACTCGACTACTCGATTCCATATTTACACCGTTCCCAGAAGAAGAAATTCGGTCTGTTGTAAGCATCGTCGCCGCTAGACTACTTCGTTGATTGATGGTGAGATCATGCATATATCTGTGGTCGTTCTCCTCTTTCTCTCTCTCTCTTTCAAACGTCTACAACTTCGCAGTAATTATAAAGTGTATGTGATATATTAGTTATTCTGATTTCTGAAATTTGGTCTCGTTTCCACTGTAGTATTCATTACAGAAATTCAAGAATTTAGCGCATTATAAATTCAGTTCATGTTTTCAAGTTTTTTTTAATGCTACGGCAGCCAATATAATATCGTTAGTTTTCCACCACTTCCTATTATCACACATCACACACACACAATACTTCATGTTTTCTGCTTAATTTGTGCCGTAGAAATTATAGAAACACTATCAGTACTATAAAAGAACAATACATGAAGAAGGGAACCTGGATAATAATATGAACTATTCTTACCATGTAAATAACCACCATGAAGATTAACTACTATTCTGTATACCCTACGTCCCTCTTTTTCTATGTTGTGCTATCAAATAAGAAACTAATTAATGTTTTTGTCGACAAATTATGTACTACAACTGATAGCGTAGTGGTGGCTGTGTGTGATAGTTCAGATTAAAAAATTACTCAATATAAATTTGTTTCTCATGTCGGCAGCAAGTTTTACGAAACGAATACTTGGCTGTGTTTGTAAGTTATATAAGATGGTAATAGTCGAAATTCGAAGGGTCTGAACAATACAATACATCTAAACTATGAAACAATAATTTGTATCCTCAATACATACATACAATACATTCAGAACAATATTTACTACCGAATGACAATGATAATAACCAAAATGTTTTTATTAAGTAAAATGTTTGGAGGAAGATTACGAAACGATTACAATAATTATTATATTAGTACCAGTAAGTCACAACCTGCAAATAAGTCGGATGAGGTTGTGCTGCTGCGCCAATGACTTTGTCCTAATCCTAAACCTAAATCTAATGTTATTTAAATAAACGTATCATTCATTCATTGTCAATCCCATCCATTACTATGTAATAACCTGAAATGATGATCTTATAGGGATGAACAAAAACGATACATATCATGTTCGCCTTTTTTCATAAAGAAATGGATTAATATTCCAAAGTTTCAATCTAGACCTATCTATGTACGTATAAGAATATATTTGTAATTGACTACGCAAATTTATTTAATACTTAATCGAAAACTGAAATTCCAATCTTAAAAAAATATTTTGTCCGGTTAGAACTCTACATTCGTTCTGTGCCGATCTGTGAGTCGTCTTTCCAATCTGAAGGGCGTGGCGGACTTGAAGTGTTTACATGTTAGAGCTCAATAATTCATGCATGGCGAATTTACCGTTATTATGAATTGATGGCTATTCTTGTCTTTTCAATTCCGTCGCCCCTTCAAACCGCATGTATTAAGAGATGATGAGATCATACTAGATATTAAGACTACGAAAACCCCTTCTAATAATTCAAATTGGCCTTGTTTTTTTAATAATTTAATGTCACTATCAAAATTGTATTCAACATAAATAATTATTTATAGCATTTAATTGATTCATTGTCTAATTTGTCAAAGCATCCAAAATCAGAAAAAAAGATTAAAATTTTAGAATCGGGCTGTCGTCCCTCCCAAAAAAACTAAATTTTTTTTTATTAAACCATGAAAACTATACTTACGACTACGAGGGCACCGATCAAATAATCGTTCTTTTATTCTATGTCATATCATTCAACAGTAGACCCATATTTTCCTTTGTTTTTAGTTTACCCACTCGAATCCCGATACGGTTTGTTTGCATCGCTGTCCCTGGTTACCACAAACTTCATCGCATTGCACTGGGTAGACTCTCATTTCAACCTCAAACTATTCACATATCGAATTGCGTAGTAAGATAAAAAAAATAGTTAATTTTTGCAACAATGGTTGACGCCGAGCTAGGGAAGTCTATCAAACAGACTCAAGACTTGTTGGGCAAGTATGTGAAGAAACCCCCGTTGTCTGAAAAGAACTTGAGTAGACCACCATTTCGATTTCTCCATGATGTAACCACGTCGGTAAGCCTGCCGTCATATCTGAATCTGATAGTTAATTAAATGAGAAAAATCAAAATGACAATATGAAAAATTTTTCTTATATTGCATTTGTACCTTTCTAGGTTATCAACGGTACTGGATTCATGAATGGCGTTTTTGACCCCAATGAGCTCGATTCTAACAACATGTCCTCCCGAGAAGCGAAAACAGAGTTTATGAGGAAATTGATTACAGCCGTGAGTAAGTGTAATTGTCGTACTTGCTGAAAATCACTATTGACTTATTATTGACAAATTTGGTGATTGCTGATCATTATCAATGACTTTTTGCAGACGAGGCTACTGGAGAAGACGTGCCGGTGAAAATTTCTAAAGTTTTATCTGGCCACGAACCTGAAAAGACCAATATTCTCCTACAAGCATTAGCTCGTGCCATTCAAAAGTTCAAAAGTGGTAATGATTCTAAACCACCTGCAAAAACTACTGCTCCAACAAAAGTAAAATCGAATGAAGTAATGGGGGTCTCAAAAACAAATGCCGACAAAAAGTCTGAAAATAAGCCAGCTGCATCTACTAAACCAGATACGAAAAATTTTGCTGGGAAAAAGCCGGCACTCCCTCCTGCCAAGAAACCTTCCGGAACAAAAGCAGTGGACACTACTAAGACTAACAAGAAGCCTGATGGAAGTAATCGTAATGCGGGTGGTTCTAGTACAACAACACAGAAAAAGAATTTAGATTCCGAGTAAAATTATTTTATGCACTACTTACGTATTTACATATATACAGTTCCAACGTACATTATTTGCATCATTCTAGACAAGCACTTGGAGGGTTGTTGCAACCAGGACGAAGGAAATCTGTAGCTGAAGAAATCTCAGAAATAATGGGGACCACGAATTCTGAGGGGATAAAGGAATCCCAGAATCTTGATAATGTCCCTGTTGTCGAGAAATTTGCATCAGACTCGACAGTTGCAAATAGTACTTCTTCATCATTGAAACGACAAAACTCGTCAATATCTAAAGTAGGACAAGTTAACCGAGATTCGGTAAAAGTACGCATTCAAGTTATACTTTACATCATTTAAAATTTAGCAAGATGTAAAATCATTCTCATCATTTCTATTTTAGAACTCCAGTCGCAATGAATTACCTGACGGTAACAGAACATGCATTAGACATTCTTTTATTATTTACGGTTCTTTATCTAACAAGTTATTTTGGAATGAAATTATATTTTGTGTTATTTTATTGTGTCCCAAAGATATGATTCCTGTTGAGTTAAACATGCATGAACGAACGCCTGCTAATAATCTAAATGAGGACACTTTACTATTGTCCGCTCCTGTTGGCCAGTCTGGTGACCCTGGTCATCATGACAAAATTAATGAAGATATTTTTTCATCCTCAGCACCTCTTGAAAATAAGAAGCCCGTAGAAGTCCAAGGAACAAACCTGGAATATGATGAAGGTGTACAAACAACAAAAAAGTAAGTCTCATATTTAATTTTCTTATATTAAAAAATGTTCAACTTGATTAATTTTCAATGGACAATATTTTATTTTTTTCATATTCATATGCATGCATGTGTTCATATGTAGTGATCAAAGTTCAAGCAACACGGTTCAAACTAGAACCTATGCTGGTGCCGATCGCTTGAGTTCTGCAAGACCGCCCAGTGCTCGTCCTGCTCCCCCAAGACCCAAGACTTCTCTTTTTAGGGATGCAGAGGAATCAAATTACAGGTCCAAATATTTGCGTATTTAATTTGCATTCATCATTTCACATAATTTTTTCAAATAATATTAGGCCACCGACAGGGAAAGTCACAAACGTTTTGCTGGACAATTCTGATATTGATGAGGATGACAATTTTGTTGTTCGAGAGGCGGCAGTAGCACAAGGTCCAGGACTTGGAGGTGTTGACGAGACACCGGTAACATTAAACTACCAACTTTTAAAAATAACTAAATACTGATGGGTTTCGTGTGCCATTTGTAAATATGTACAGGAGCTTGCACTGGCCACAGGAATCAAACTTGACGTTGACAGCGCATTGGAAGAGTTAGCACCTGAGGATCGAGGACTATTGGTAGATCAAATTTTGGAGACACAAAGACAATTAGAAAATCGTGACGGTGGTGCCAACAAGAAGGACTTGGTATTATAAGATCTATTATTTGAATAGTTATAAATTTCTCGTGGTTCTCAATATGTACACATTGTGATGCATTTAGGGAAATGATCTTGGAATTGGTAAATCTAGAGAGACCTCGAAAGCAGAAATCGAAAAGCTAAAAAATTTGCTGCAAGAATGTGCAAGAAATGCAAATCCATTGGGCAAACTTTTGGATTATGTTCGAGAGGATATTGATGCAATGCAAAAGGAGGTTGCAAAATGGCGTGAAGAAAGTAGATCATTGGATTCAGACTTGTTAGCTGCCAAGCGGTAAGATGTAGAATCTAATATTATGTATCATCTAAACTATATAATTACCTTCTCTCACTCAGGATGGCTGAAGCAGCGTTACAGCCGATACACCAAGAACTGACCGAGGTAGAAGCCCGTGTTCAAGACAAAGAAGATGCCATAGCTGGTAACTCGCTATATCTATACACGTTTGTAATTATGTTTGAGACAGTGTTTGTAAGGCTAAAAAGTTCAGATTTTAAATTTACAATATTTCAATTGGCAGCAACTAAAATGTCTGTAATCCGGCTACAAGAGCGCATTGAAAAAATTCTTAATGGTTTGGACCGAGTACAATCAAGTCATGGAAAACTACCAATTCCATCCGCTAGTCAGCTAATGCATAATGAACCCTCTGCTATAAAGCCACGTGAAGATAATCACTTTCAGCGTGAAGGAGGTAACGCTTACTCTAGCGGCTTTAGTAGTTCGATAAATCGACTGGCACAGGCAACCCCAGGTATGAGACCAATTAGTCTTTTTTCATCCTCCACTGATGATTTGGACCCAGATAACTTTGATCCATTCAAGAAATAATATTGAGGGTAACACAAATATGTATAATAAGCTTTAAAGTGATTCTTGACAATTTATAACTTAATGTTGTTAACAAGTGCATTTTGGAAGGAACATGAATCCTCCAATAATATCAGTTGTACGTACATATACATTAGTGAACGTTTATAACTTCCTTATTGATAGTATACCTACGTACATAAGTATAATACGTTTCAATAAAAAAATGTGAAACTGGTAATTGTTGTGTGAAATTGAATTCCCCCATTTTAGGCTAAGCACAGCCCTAAGGTAACGCCAGAGACAATGGTGTAGATGATGAGCGTCAGTCTATCAATCATAGCAGCAAGGAGGATCCATTCTGCATTTGCTGAATATGGCATTTCTGTAACAAGAGGCGTTGTATGATCTTTGTCACTATGGTCAAAGCTAGGTCGTCCATTTTCACGTGGAGGTTGCATTTCTACTCCTTCATCATCATTCAGTCTTGAATGAGTCATTGAGACCTGCCAAGATCAAACTCGTTCATTACATGTACATGTGCACAATTAATACAAACTATAATCATAAAATGGCTAGTTATTTACATAAGTAATTAGAGAATTGCGCTTACGTATGGGACAATATAACCCAGTCCAAGAACTTGGGCAAAACTCGCATTGCAAAACATTCTGAAGCACTGGGGAGGACTGGACGCTCTTCCGTGGTTTCGAGAAAGGTTGATCACAATGACTGAAATGACTATTGAGATCCCAATGAGTACTGCATTGATGGAATACAGCAAAACTACAAACAAAAATTCGCAAAACTATCTATTTCATGGTTTTACAGCAAAACTTTAATAAAACTGAGACAATAAGTCAGTTCTTGTTGGTTCGAAAAGTTATACATAATACATGTTAATTAGTTTACCCAAAAGTGGAAGATGGTCCCCAATCGAAGGAAGTCTTGCTTCAAAATAAATGAGATAAATGCACACGATGAAAAAGTTGATGGAAGCGAGTGAAAGTTTTTCGCCAGCAGTGGGAGGCAGGATAAAGACCATAATGTTCACAAGCGTGATGACTAAAATTCAATAATTTCAAAATGATATCTCACTCAATCATTATCACATCATTAATTGTAAGCAGTTATTTTTGGTAGATTGCGCGGATACCTATGATGGGCAAAATTATAGTTGCTGCGTATGAAGGAGAACTTCTTTGAATTGTAAAGCTATATTTGACCACGGCATATGGTTCTTCACAACAGGCGTAATATTCATTATCTTTTTCAGCAAAAGTCTTGATCAAATTCCATTCTGAGTTGGGCACATACAAGTTGGAGTCAATAGCGTGATTCTAAAAAAAACTCAGCATTGTTAAAATAGTTTGATTAATTCGAACCAATTTTTTTAACAATTCGAACTAATTTTTAATTCCAACCAAACCAGCATACTACTTTTATAGTAAAAAAACCTACAGGATGAAGTGTTGATTTAAAGTGACTAAACTACTACAGATATTACCAACTACTATTCGTAATACGTAGTAAAAAATCTTCCCATGATTTAGCATGCAAAATTTCAGCTTTTTTACCAAGTTCAAAACCAATATGGGTCACCATACTGCTCATCTCTTAATTCCTAATTTCCTAAATACTCCTAAGCTTGACCTCATATTCTTATATTTTAAATTTTAAATTTTAGTCTTCAACTACTACAAAATTCGGAAATCTGTGGGGGTAACCCTACTAGGTCCTTCTAAATAATAATTTGGTCTTTATGACACTGTATTTTTACTTTAGTACACAAATACGACTAATGCCCCAAATATCCCAGAGCCATTCCGAACTGCCCGACTTTATGACCCCCACCGGTCAACCGCTCATTATCGAGCTTTGTTCCTGATTTGTCCCATACTACATGTGTACCAAGCTTGGCTAGAATGATGGTTCCATAAGCCTTGACTCGGGCTTAAACGTGTTAAAATTAAAAATTAGCTCACAGGGTTTGATGCAATATTTGACGGCAAATCCAAGTCAACTTCACTTCCCGAATGTGTCCAAGATCCCACTTTTAAATTACACGTGTGTTCATCAAACGGCCAACGGATCATATTCATACCACAGTGAGACGTCAACTTTGCAGGTATTGTCATAAGCACCAGACCATCAGGCTTCACGATAAGAAGAAACTCACCGTAGTGAAATGTTTCAGTTGGCAAAGCACTGCGAAAAAATTAATAAAAATAAATGTCTAGCTCCAACTAAGGGCCTAACCCTAACTAAGTTAGACTAATGAGTTAACTGTCTTGATTTTAACTTGCTTATTAATTAGGATAATGTCGGGCTGCCAAATCTCGTGACTTGCAAATCGTAAAATTGTTGTATCATTATCCGAGGAGGTACGATTCCATGCGAGACGATTATCTGTCCAGCTCTTTCAAGTCCATGTGCATATAAAATTATGATTATATAAAAATATTTCTAGAAATATCACCACAAATTCTCAGATTATGAATTCCAAGTTTTAATACCATTGAAAACCAAACGTTTGCCTGAAACACTTGTTCAGTTTCCTCCTATTTTAGTTTAAAACAGCAATGGGAAATTATGAAAATATTAATCACGGCCAAGATGTGTACTTGTATATATGTATACCAGTAAGAAGTGCGTAAGTGTCAATCCCATGAGGATTTTGATCGGTCCATTGTCAGAGGATCGTGGTGGCACTTTTGGGTCATAACTCTCCATGAGATTAGTCCTTAAACTGACCGTATCACCTGCGTCAGACAAATAATGGCATTGATTAACATGATTTCTGTTCTTCATTTAATCACTTCCAGTTTACATTAAAAAATATTTGCATGTTTATTGTAGTAACACCGCACTTACACAAGCCACTAATTATCAGTTGAAAAAATGTGGCAAGAGGAACTATGAATCTCCAGTTACCAGGAATCATTTTTGTCATGATTGATCACAGGATTTTAAGAAGGAAGTCATCAAGTGTGCAATTTAACCAGAGAATAATGTATATCTAACTAAAGCAGCCTGGTTCGAGAGAGTCAATTTCATTGCTCAGAGTTACTCTAATGCTGACTAAAGTTCATTCTTAACGGCACTCAACTTTTAAGTAATTTACCTAAATAATCAGAGAAATAACACATTTATTTACTTGGAGGATTTATTTTACTTAAATCTTAAAATAGAAAGTTATGTACATGTCAAATAAATATCTATTTAAGTATTTATTTATAACGATAAACTGTCACAATCATTAGGAGCACAAACTAAGCTAGATAAATATCTAAATACTATTAAATTTACTAACTCCTACCAAGTTTCTCAGGTTTATGTCAGAAATGGTTTACTGGTAAGCAGTGTGCCTCTTATATGTAAGTTACATATAAGTACGCGTACTACGAATGTGAAGCCAACCATTACAATTTGCATAATATTTTTACTTGGCTAGTATTGCCGTTGATGCACACACATCAACTCAAACTAACAATAACAAAGTGTTGTTAATAAAGCTGAGCACGAAGAATCTTTCAACTGACGACCAGCTATGTAACAAATTGAACAATCTTTGTGTTTCAAATATCATGGTCGTGTCTGGTCGATTAATATGCTCTTGGACTTGGTCATGTTCAATTCACTTTTGTTCCCATCAGCTCAGCATCCAGTTCGTCAGAATATAATCAACTACATGTTCAATTCCTCAGTTGTAAAATCACCCCAAGCTAAAGAAGAAGAACCGGTGATACAGAGCATTCACACATGTTCGTATCAGCATCAATTCTACAGCACAAAACTGGCCGAGTTTGAACTCTAGATTTTTTGCAAGCTTTTCCATCCTACACATCTTTTAGCAACGAAAGTATCATCATAACCATACCGTCGGTTCTAGCTTAGAAGCGTCCAAAGCCTTGCACAGTGTGTGGGGCTGGAGAACTTGTGTCTGTCGTTCGTAAGAAGGTGCTACCAGTAGATGAAGATGCGAATAGTGCATGATTATTTGATGGAAAATAAATGAATGTTTACTCTTCACACCCGAAAACTTCTGCTACAAGCAGATTTTTTATCTACAAAAGCACATGGTCTCACATTCTGTTTGTAACTTTGATGTCGAAGTTTATTTTGTGCATTTTTCTTTTATTCTTCGTTTTTTTCAGGTGTAACAAGATCCATCAAGCAAGATGTAAAATGATCATCTCCGACATAGTATACGATTGATACTCAAATTATTGTTAGCTCCCTCAACAGAAACAAGCCAGAAGAATAAATGTGATTGTGGAATAAAGCACAAATGACAATCGATCAACGGTAGCTGCCAAAAGCACCCATTCTGACACTCTTCCCGTCCTAGTCTCGGCAAATTCCCGACTTGCTTCCGCATCGTCTGTTGTTCTTTTCATTATGCTTCCGCCAATTTGTGATTTTCTCCTCTGTAAAACGGCGTGTTTCAAATTAGGCACTAAAATTCAGCCATATTTATTTGTAAATGAAAATCTTACATCGGATGCTTGAACATGTTGGAGACAAAGAATGGAAAGAAATGTGGGGTTGTATATGGGTTGGAGAAAACGGGGTGGAGTACTGGATCCGATGAGGAGATTAATCACAAGCGCCGACGTGAGGATATTCAGTGTAACCAGAATGAGGTTCCAACCATACAGGATAACTTTCAAGAAATATATACCGTTTGAAATGGAAATTATAGATTCAAACAAATTATGAACATTTTTAAATTATTATCGTTTGCTTATTGTTCATTCATTCATTCATTCATGTGCATTAAGTACCAATGTAAGGAACGTGATCAACTTCTGGAAGCCGTGTCCTGAAGAAAATTAGAAACAAACTGATGACCAAAAAATTAACGGCAGCCACAGTGACCCTTCCCGTGCTATCCGCCGGTTGCAGAAACAATACCAGGTTGACAAAAGAAATCAAAACTGCAGGCAAAAAGACGGTGTAGGTGTAGAGTGATGATTTCCGCTGAATATTGAATTGGTATGTGATGGAGGTGTAGCTTTCGTCTGGACAACATTCGTACGATCGACTTTCTCGGATGGCCTTTTTATCTACTAGTTCCCACTCCATGTCCTCTTTTTTGAAATCTTCCAATACCTTGACTTTCTCATCCTCGCCCTCCACCTTCCCAAATTGCATGTCAATCTCAGTCGAGTCATGCGTCCAGGAACCGAGTTTTACCGTACATTTTTCTAAAAAGTTCAACGATGGTAATAAAAAATGTTGCAAAATATTTGCCCCCCGATTTGTAGGAAAAAAACTTACGAAGATCTCTCGGCCATTTGCGAAGGTTCAAGTCGCAATATACAACAAATTTGGAAGGAGGAACCCAGCTAACAGTTCCATCTCTGCTTACGATAGCTTGAGACAGCCCATAGATATTCAAATTTGTAGGTTGTGCACTATATACTTAAATAGGTACAAGTTTAATCAAGTGTTAGTTATGCTTCTCCACCATTAATCTAAGACCAATATAAGTGGACCTGTTATAAAGAAGAATGTCAGGGAGCCAAATTTCACTCGATGAAAAATGTATCTTTCCATTTCCAGACTCATTGTTTTCTGGCTGCCACGCCAATCTATTGTCTCGCCAGGAAAAGTAAGGCCAAGCCTCCAGTTCAAAAGTTTGCTTCTCTTCCTCCTAATTAATTGTTTTTTATTGATGAGCTCATTTTTAGCTATTGTAATAAATATACATGGTCATATTGTTCTTACGATACTGAAGTGTGTTAATGTTAGTGATCTAAAATGTGTATATTTAAAAATTTGATTCGCATGAAGTATTGCATTTAGTTTTATATGACTTCAATTTCGTTCTAGATAAATTAATGTCTGACGTACCCAAGGGTCACGGTGACCAAGCTTTCGTTGAACTTTCGATTTAATTTAAAATTGGGCAGAGCAAGTTTATCATAATTTTTCAACATGGAGATCCGTCGGTTTGGGTTTGGCGTCCCTCCTATTGTTGAATCACATTATAACGGTTTACTGTACTTTGGATTGAAGACAATAAAAATTTCTTGCTTACCCCAAACCAACTTAAATAAGACGAACCCGAATACGACAAGCCACAAGATGATCCTGACTGGGATTTTCTCCATTCTCGAGTCAGATAAATAAAGGAAAATAGGATCTCGTTTTAACCGTGTATTTGCATAAATAATATATTTTCGTCACTCTATTCGAAACAAAATTCTTAAAATTTTGTTTTACTTTCTGTGTATTTGAAATGTAAGTGTGTATGTACGTAAGGGCAGAGTGCGTAGTATCTTGTTGACACACTCATCGACTGAATTAAGCATAAGCATGTATGGACAGTTGACACCAATTGAAGCATTTAAGACTTTAATTGGGCGGATGACGGAAAATTTGCCAACTAATAATTTTCGTCTTCTCTTCACTTGTTTAAAGTGAAGAGTTTGTGTATGTTGGCTGCGTATTTTTGCCAAACAAAAGTACGTACGTGTTATGAACTTCATAATATGAAGTACGATCCGGTTGATGAAATTGTGCCATGCTGAATGTCTACATATACAGAAGGTTTTAGCTGCATAAGTTTTTACAGTAATTATATATTTCCTGAATATGAAAATCACGGATCAATAGCGATCGTCTTTCAAACTCAATCATAGTTTCATCATTCGACTGCAAAATTATTTTTTGGTCCAATGATGCGATTGATCCTTTATATGATACAGCTATATAAATATTCAGTTGAGTTGAGACAATGTCAATGTCCCGAGTTTAAGTGCAGCAAAGTCATTGAATTGCATGCATACTTTAATTTCATCCTCCTTATGCCTAATCTATTTGCATGTACATACATACATATGTGCGTTTTTTAAAACAATTTGCAAAGTCTTATGCCAAAAATAATTAGACAAAAATCCATCACAAGAAAAGTGGTTGTCCATTGTTAAAAATAGTTCTTGACAATGGGCACGACAGCTTGTCAGCTGAATAATGAATTTGTAAAGAATACACCGGAAACCCCCTGGTTTTTGTCTTTTAGTAGAAAATTGCAACCGTTTCAGGATCTGGGCACGCTAGGCTGGCTTTAATAGCCAAATTTAACTGCAATTTCCCGTTCAGTTGTTGTCAAGAGTGCACCTGTGAAAGAAGATTGTTGGTGATTTGACTGAGTACGATTTTCTATTAAAGCAAGAATTTTTCAAACTCGGAATTTTAAACAAAATAGATTTTCATAATGCACTATGGGCTATTTTGGGGTAGGAAATGCCTCTAAATCTAAAAGTGCCAGGAAACCGATTGTAAAAAAGCTGTACATAACTGTAGCTATTTTAATTATATTCAACTTGATATTTTTCTACAATCCATTAAAATCCAGGGACATTAGCATTTCCGATAATTCAGACGATAATGAATATGAAGATAGCAATTTTCCAATCGAGCTATCCAAAAACTCTCTCCAACTGATCCAGTACCCTGCAGGGACACACCCTGTGTACAGAAAATGGAACAGTAATATAAATCTGAACAACAGACCAAAAAAAATTTTGATATGGAATGCATACTGGGAATCCACAGGTATGCATACGGAATAACATTTGTAAGTGTGAATTTAGTGCTTATTTTTATTTTGTTATAGCCATGTGGCACAAAATATTTTACGAAATCGTATACAAACAATGTCCTCAGTCTAACTGCGTCATGACTGTCGATAAGAACGAGTTGGATCATGCAGACGCAGTTCTTTTCCATTTAATTGACATTGCAAAAGAAAATTACACGTTTCCTGCTAATCGAAATCCAGATCAAGTATGGATTGGAATGACATACGAGCCACCCTACATTCTTAAATTCAGCAACCTCAACTTTACCAGGCTGAATGGAATATTCAATCGAACAATGAGCTACCGATCTGATTCCGATGTTGTCGTACGCCACGGAACCTACGTCAAAGTTGTCGGAGATATCCAAGCATATCCAAACTATATGTCGGACTGGGTTAGCTTTGAATTCTGCTATTTTCTGATATCTACATAATATTCTAACCACACCAAAAAATATGCGTTAAACAGATTGGTTCCCATAAAGTATCACCAGAGAAAAACTATGCGGAGGGGAAACGACGTCTCATTTCTTGGTTTGCCAGCTCCAGGTAGGTTCGTCTACTAATGCCAGAATAATGCTTGAAAATGTTTTTATTATTTGTTGGCAAATGTGTGATTATTCAACATTTTTGTTCTATTATTATTAAAAAAAATTGTAACCCTTTTCTAGAGGATGCAAAAGTCAGAGTCGGCGTGAGAAGTATGTCAAGGAATTGCAGTCTTACATTCCCGTCGATATTTTTGGAGCTTGTGGTCCCTTCAAGTACTAATTTGTGAAATCTTAAATACTAAACACCATATTTTGTAGCAAAATCAATTTATTTCCCAACACTGCAGGTGTGGAACACAAAAAACCATGAGAAACCCGTATAAAGTGGAACATGATGATTGCTATCGTAAGTACATAGCTGATTTTGTTTATTCAAATGAGCTATACAGCTTAAGGACACATTTCAACGAGTTTGCTATTTTCTGTTGCAGTTCTTGTGAGTGTCGCCTACAAATTTGTCTTGGCAGCGGAAAACTCGGTGTGCGAAGACTATGTCACTGAAAAATTATACAACCATTTGAAGCTTAATGTAGTCCCAGTTGTGTACGGGGGTGCAGATTACAATAAGGTACATAAACATATGACATAAGTCACCTTCAGAATACATAGTCTAAAACGTAGGTTACACTCGCATGTAAGTAAAAAAAATTCTAAATATGCTGCTATTTTACTTAGTATGCTCCACCAAACTCTTTTATCGATGCTTCAAAATTTTCGCCAAAAGAATTGGGAGAATATTTACTACTTCTGGATAAGAATGATACCCTGTACAATCAATATTTTGAGTGGAAGCAAAATTATTACATTGCTTCACATGACGGGTAAGTCAATGCTTAACAAAATAGTAACTCTAAACGAAGGGTAATCTAATGCGTACGTTTAACTTTGATTTTAAAAGTACACATTTAATCATTTTCAATTAAAAATATTCTTCTAGCGTTCCCCTGGCGTGCGACTTGTGTGAGCAGTTACACAATCCAAATTGGCTTTTAGAGAGGAAAGTCTATGAACACTTTGATGAGTGGCTGGAAAGTGGATGCCGCAAAGGATGGTATGCACAACCTTCGCAATAATCTACCCAGAAGGTAATTAAACTGCAAACATGCAAAAATGAAACTAAACCAAGGTGTTGCTTACGAGACGAAATGACATTTTGACTTGGAATTTTGCAGTTGAAGGCCACTTGAACAACAACAGTATCATAGGCTGCAAAACTAAGGTACTGGACGTGAAGGGGCAGTGGATCAACCCAGTGGAGCAACGGGATTTCACTCCCTTCGTGGTACACCAACAATTCTCCGTTCTTCCTGTCCAACTTTATCAAAAATCCTCGAAACTGTTGATCTGACATGATGTCCGGAGTCTTTGCTTGAACCATATTTGCACCCCATTTTGATCTCCGAATTTCCGATACGGTATTAGCGTATGATCCAAGCACAATCTAGTAATACAAAAGGTAAAAATGTGAAAAGAGTCACTGAAAGTTTTTAAGCTTTAGGATCCTGGAACGAAGATTCAAACAGGGATTATTCAGGTTATCGCTGCGAATATTTGGTACAAAAGATACGAGCTACTAGAAAATGTTCATTTTATACATAACAGTTTAAGTTTGCAAATACAAAAAGTAAAAAAAATATATATACAAGTGAAAGTCTTTTTTAGCCCGAACCAAGGCTTATGTAATTGTCATGTCCGTCTGTCTGTCTGTCTGTCTGTCTGTCTGTCTGTCTGTCCGTCTGTCTTTCGATAACTCTCGAACGAGTTGACCGATTGACTTGAAATTTTTACCATATGCATATTGGACAAAGTTAGGAAACGAGTTCGAAGATGGGTGACATTGGTCCAGTGGTTGACCGGTGGGGGTCATCGGAGTGGGTGGGGTATTATGCACCAAAATTTCAAAATCGTCATAGAAAGCTCAAATTTGGTATAAAGGTTGCTAATGGCTCCTAATGAAAGAATATGAAGTGAAATTGGAAAATTTGTCAGCCGGAGGTACCCGAGGGGCTGACCCATACCGATTTTTCAAAATCATCCAATCGAGCTGAAATTTGGTATAGAGGCTGCTAATGGCCCGTAATGGAAGAATATGAAGTGAAATTGGTAAAATTTTCATCTAGAGGGACCCTATGGGGTGACCCCAACGATTTTCAGAAATTAACATACAAAGCTGAAATTTGGACCAGAGATCCATACTACTTTTTCACGAAATAACATGAAGTTAAATATGAACAAAAATTAACCAGGGGGCTATAGAGACGACCTCCACTAGGAAGTAGTCAAGGGAAGAGATAGTAAATATTTTTAGAATTTGGAGCCTAGTAATACGAAGGATTGATGGAAGAATTAGTACAAAATAGTAGCACATAATTTCATAGAAAACTACTGACAAACATGGGTTTACTAATAATTCCTGGTTCGGGCTAAGCAAAGCTGTACTGATAGGTTTTACTTATTGTGTATGTAATAAAATTAACAATTACAAATTACCAAGTCAAAATTACACTTACCAAATAGAGTGGATCTGCCTCAGCTGCATTTTCTGATAGTGCGATATGTCCATCCGACACACCTTTTAATCTGACGAGGAACTCCACTACCTCACCGACCTCAGAACCTTGTGACACGTCATCAATATTATGGAACTTTTTGAAAGAGGATCCAGTTACAGTTTCTTTTTGGCAATCGGCAAAAAATATTTCTCTTTATGCATGCGTATAACATAATTAAATTGTGCTTGTGATTAAGCCACTTACTTTCACTTGCAAGATTGGCAACACTCAAGGAGTTGTTGCTGATGAATGGTGATATTGATGTTGATTTTACCACATAAATTATTGTATAGAATAAAAACGAGTGTTTCTTCCATTCCATGTTAAAGCTTGTTGGCAAACCAATTTTGTATAATTTTTCGCATGTGTACCATTAAAAATTTCAAATCTGAATTCTTTCTCTGTCGATGCGAATTTATTGTGTTTTATCACTTATGCAACCGGAATTAGTATATCGTTTCGGCGTCAAGTCGAGTTTAAGAGTATTTATGCATATCTTGTCCTGTGATGTTGATGTTCGTCAACTCGTCAAACAAACTTTGTTTATGAATTTTGTAACCCGATCTATGAACATTACAAAATTCGAGCTGTCGTCTGTGGCTAAATGTTTATATTAGAGTTGTGCAGAATGGAATCTCAGGATTCATCAAATAACACAAACGCAGAAAAAAATTCTTGATGCTTATCGCTATCATCCAGACCATTCTCTAATTGCATTCTCTACGGTTACGTGACATACTTAGCAAGTGGATTACGTAGAATGCCAATCTTAGGAGAATATATAGAACAACATGACTCAAGTTCTACACAATATTGTCAAATTCTGTTGAAGCCATTATTATTTATAAGCATAAGCAGAAATATCTATGTGGCAATCATACTGGTTTTTCGTTGACCGGACATGTCGTCGGCATCATTCAGTGGTAAACTGGAGTAAGCATCTTTCGCTTTGCAGTTGAAGGCAACTTGAACGACACGATTATCCCACGTGGAAAAAGCAAAATACTTGATCATCAATGGATTTGGGTCGTCCAAGTGAAGCAGCGGAATGTCACTTCCTTCCGGAAACACATCTATTCCTCCAGTTCTTGGGTTGTACCGAACAAGGAATCCGCGGTACTGATGTTCCGACAAAATTCCTGGCGTGTTTGTTTTGTGCTCTAAGATATGCCCACGACGGATTTCAGAAACCTTGTTGTTGTACGCCCCCAAGCTTATCTGTTGTGTATATATGGGCACTTATGTAGAAATCATTCTTATAAATGTTTTATGTATTATTGTAACTTTATGCAAATATTATATTTATGCAAAGTAATGTCATACCACATAACTTGATACACTCCGAGGGTTGTCAGTGGTATTGTTTGCTGTGAGAGCAATATGACCATCTGCAATACCCATGAATCTGACGAGCAGCTCAATAACCCCGTTTCGATTAAACCAATTTTCTACTGGGTAAAATGTCCGAAACTCTTTCGAGCTCACAGTTTCAAGTTGACAGGCTGTAATGGCAGAATTATGTGTGACGTTTAATTATGCGCTAATGTGTAAAAGCTTGGAAAGCTTCTTCTTACTCTCATGAGTAAAGTTAGCGGCTCCATTTTCCTTTTCACTAGTGATGTTGGCGTCCGGCAATTCACAAAAACAATTGCTGGCAAAAAGTGAAATAATGATGAGCAATGACTTTATTCGTTCTATTTTTAACATTTTGTGTGGTGGAACTTTTAAAATTGTAGAATAAAACTTTTGTAAAATATAATTAATCCTCAAAATTGTCTTCATCTTCGTTCTACACGAACTAATCGTTGTCTCGCACTGGATAAAGCTACCACATATTGATAGATAATTGCAATCAGGAAGGATACAAAGCTGATTTTTTATTTCTACATTAACTAAAGTAAAGGGTTTATCTAGTGATGAGTTTCGTAGTATGCAGAACGCATGCTTGGCATGTGTGCTACGTACTTACTCATATATTTACAAGCACGGAAGTTCATGTCTAGAAACAAAGGCTTAAAATTATGATTGCAATGAACTATGTACATATATACATGCATTACGCATGCGAATATTTGTAGATTACGCCATATCAAATTCGTACAAAGTTCCGTTTATTTGTTGCTAAATATTATTTGATGGTTCTACTATTTGGTAGTGGACGCATAGTGCTCATCCTCGTCCTCGTTTATGGTATTCAAACACCTTCAACTTTGTCTCTCTTTTTTCGCCTAAACATAACGCTGGATAATACATTTGGAGTTGGATTGGGAGTTGCAGCTTCCGACGGTACATCCGATGACCACAAGTCTGAAGATGTGTTGATTTTTAAAGGCTTCAGCGGGGTCAAAAGGTGGGGAACAATTATCCAAAAAAGTTGTTCTGCCCAAGAAGATAAGCCATAAGGAGTAAATCTGTACTGCCATTGAGGTACCTAAGACAAAGACAAAACCTGATAAAGGAATTACAGCTTCTATCTTATTTACAAGCAATTAACCGTACACTTATCTCTTCGTCTGTACTGAAAATACTGCATTTTATCTCATACTTATTTGCCCACGTACAAATCTGAGTGAGGCAACATGAGACAGAGATGAATGCATAATTATGCATATCTTGCAGGAAAATACTCAAACTAATAGCTCATTCAATCATTCAATAGTTTTGATATTTCCATCCTTCATACTTTTAAGTTTGTCTTCTATTTATACTAGTTGGATTTTTTAATGTCTTTCTGAACTGGGTAAAAACATAGTATTCTATTTCTTGACAATAAAACATTTATCAAATTCAATTATTTTTTCAAAACAATAAAACACCCCAATTAGACGAGTAAATGTTATTATAAAGACGCTACACATAGGCATTAGAAGGTCATAAAGGAGGCTTCACTATTTATGGGCATCGAACAAATAAGAATTGGGTAGTTGTCATCATATCGTCAAATTCTATCGTAGGACAAAAGGACGAATTCATAGGAAAAATTAGAGTTTTAATTAATTATGACGATGTCAAGCTCAAGCGATTTTTTTCAGTGCTAGAAAATGACCGTTTACAGCCGGGTAAATTGGGTCGCATTTAATGGCGACCCTAAGTGACTGAATGGGATACCCTAAAAACTAAACCCTACATTAGACTGAATGGCCTTCCCTAACAGGTCGAAAATAATAGCTAATAACTGAATACTGAATCTCGACCCTAAAATTATGATAGTTAAAAATCATTTATTTACATCATTTTTAAGGGAATTACATCTCGATTATCATTTATTAAAACCATTTCTTAGAATTAGTTCATAAATTAATACAAAATTAGTCAACAACAAGGGCTCGCTTGCATTTCTTTGGGCGCCCTGGTCTACGTTTTGACCCAAGGGGTACATTTTTGCAAGTATCCGAGATATTAATATCTCTACGAAATGTGTGCTATTTCGATTAAATGGTCAATGAAATACATACTCAACCCTTTTTCTCGCCAATTTTGCCTTCTTAGAAGGAACATGTTCTTTAGAAGATGACTCCGAATCGGAACTATACTGGCTTAGGGTTTCGAATTTACTCATATTTTAGTATTTTCTACTTTGACAATTTGTTGGAATAAAGTTAAGTGGCTGCGAACTTGCCAAGGAGTATAAGTTGTACGAACTTTTCCTTGCTACGTATCGTACCCATGTACATATAATTTAATTACGAAATGGGCATAGTTTGATTCTTTTCGTTGTCTTTGGATATGAACTATAGTTAGTTAAAATATATTGAGAAATTAGAATAAAGTTTAAGATAAATAAGGATGGTTATTGGCAAGTTAGGGAAGGCCATTCAGTCCACCGTAGGGTTTAGTTTTTAGGGTATCCTATTCAGTCATTTAGGGTCACCATTAATATGTGCCCTTTACAGCCTGCAGGTAGTTAAAAACATTGCATTGGTAACAAAACGGTTATAGTGGTAGTGAGACACATCCTTAGCATAAACAAGCATGCAGTTAAATACATGTCTCAATTTTCTCACCCCCAAGTGAAAAAGTAGCATCCTGCATAAATGTAGAAATAAATTAGTTCCAGGTCCATTTTGAACACATTTTGACTTGATACTTGACATTAATGATTACGATAGCAGCTGGTTACCCACCGATAGTAATGGGAGAAAGTGGGAGCCAAATAGTGCCACGTCAAAGAATTATCCAAAAACCAAATTTCAACGTTAGGCTCAACCTGTTGTGAAGGCTCTGTGACGGAGCGAGGGGAGTTTGGGGGGAGAAGGATGGTTTTATTACGAGCGGCTGGGTAGATAAGACAGACCCAGCCATACTTGCTTTGGTCAAGGATAAATGCTTTATCGTTCGGAGCAAGAAACAATCCAACCTCTTTCTGCGATTTGGATTGAGAATTGGCCTCCTACATACATTTAAAATGTGGTTTATAAATCCAAATAAAAAACAAAAATACTTTAAATGATGTTTGACTGTTAATTGTAATTTTGTGTACCATTGTTTGACGCAGTTCGGAAAAATATATCGAAAACTTGTTATTTATATCCCCAATTTCTTCAGAATTTCCTCCTGGATTAATCTTTCTGTGGGGCACTTCAAGTTGTGAAAAATTTCCAGATAGCTTTAATTTTCCATTGGATCTTTTGATATCAAAAAATTTGTTTGTAGTGTTTCCGCTCATTCGGCGTCCATCACCACCAGCGTCGACGGGGTCGAGACTTTCCAGTGCCACGAGTTGGTTGATTGGGTTTATGTTCATTTCACCAATTTTAAGATTGTCTCCAGCATGCTCCAAACTCCAGGTCAATTTAAATCCATTTGTAGAGAGGTAATAATCCTTGAGGTCTGTGGGTAACACCCCGTGTTTCCTTTCCCATCCACTAATCGTGGGTTTCTCTGTTGGTTTTCGAATTGTAAGGTTTATGTCTTTGATCATCCGATTTTTCTCTGCAATTTACAGATTTTTATTTCTATGAATTTTAGAGCCCAAGCATAATAATGAATGAATAATATGTGGGAAAGAAAGATTACGTAATTTATCTTCAATTCCTAGAGTAAGATGTTTATGATATGTTTGTTCTTCTTGACTGAACTGAATAGCTGGAGTAATTCGGCTACTACCCTGTTTTGCCTCTGTCAAAGGATTAGGTAATTCCGGCTCTCCTTCATCCCCCATTTTATTAAATATGTGTAAAGGTGTGTTTTAGAAATTGCCGAAACACTTTTCTTTCAAAAATCTCGACAGGGTGTGCATATGCCAGTTTATTAAATCAATACTTCCATAAAACCCTCCCAATCAGTGATTTTCTGTGTATAGCTTCACTACGATGGATAAATGCCTATGTATTTGTGCGCATGTCAACATTATTATGACATGTAGTTACACATTAAGAGGGTTTTATTCTTTACATATATGTGTTCCCAATTACATAGACATGCAATTACTCGACCTTATAACTGTGAATCCAGGAAACAATAATTTAGAATATGAATTTATAGATGTACATATTTTGCTATTAACATGATGAGCGATGATGAGCTACTGGATATGGTCAGGGTTACAAAACTTGACATGATAGTTGATTGCTCCAGTAGCCACCTTTCGATTACATTTAGGACAATTGATTACTTCTGGAAGAACTTGAATGTTTTCCACTTCTGATTCTTCCTTCTTGGCATGTGCATAGTTTTTTGGATCTGTCTTCTTATGGACATCCAACAAACCAACGCCACCAGCACCACGATTGTACGATGAGCCACCCACCTCCTTCTTCCAGTCTTTGTCGTCAAATTGGAGCATCACGAGTTCATCAGGGTTATCATTATTGGCGTGGTCGTCCTTCAGCCCCATTTCTCCTTTCACACTGCTGCCCATCTTTGTGGGAACTTCCTTCTCGTGACGAACTGCATCGGGAATGAGGTGCTGGGCATCTTCAGCATGGTCGTCATCGATGAAGTCGGAAGAGGACTCTTGAGTTATCACCTTATGCCTGTAAGACAGGTCGATGGCGTTGAATCTTTTTGTGATATCGGACATATTTGCATTCAAATCATCGTCATCTGACTTGGCCTTTTGCACCACGTTGTCGTCACTTGACCCCGATGCAGATGGGTTGGCGTTCAATGCCTCGGCCAGGTTCATAGTTTCCGATGTTTTGTCCTGTTGTAATCCGTACAAATTATAAAAATTTCGAAATTGAACCTAGAATTATTAATTACCGGTGCTGCCATGTTTTTGGAAATGAAATTGTCCACAAAGTTCACAGTAGACGATCAAAAAGTACTATTTGCTCTATGCGATTGGTTTATGGAAAAGTTGATTGGATAACTTGCATATTTTGACTTGCCTAGAAAAATCATTTTGTTTGCAACATATTTCCAACTAATGACAGTAAAATACTTCTGTGGAAACTATTCAGATTTAAACGCTGATGTACTTTATTTCTAATTTGTGATATAACTGTTATCAAGAACCACACAAATTAAATCTACAGATTCACGATTGCTTGACTTTAAGTATCTAGGTAACGTTAGTCTCCCTTAACGGTTGCAACAAATGGTCGAGTTACAAATAAAAAATTCATTTTAAAATCGTTGGTTCAAAAAGGGCGTTTGAGTCTCCAACTACTTTGACCCTTAATAACTTTTGAATCGGCAGACATAGAGACTTAATTCTTGAGGATGAAATCATCGTAATTTTTAGCTTGATTTTTTAAGCTAAAAATCTCGAGGGTATTATTTCGAAAATTAAACTTGAAATCTCCAGTGAGCCCGAGTCAGACTCGGTGGTTGTCGGTTAAACCAACCATTTTCCATGAAATTGTAATGTACCAAATGCATTTAAACTTGTGGAGTGACATATTTTTGAAAAATCTGTATGGATCAAGCCCTACGGTCTCACCCGTTCTGAAAATTTCAGCTCAATCGGTTCAGCCATTTTGGCTATCGTGTTCCGGAAGGACATGATTGATGGTTCCATAAGAACTGACTTAGGCTAAAAAGACAACAATTTTGCAGAGCCTTGTAAGATGGCATTATTCTGAGAGCAGGACTCGTAATGAACGATGTGCATATAATTTTGTGATTTATTTTTGGTATATAAACCATTACAAAACACGAACTTAATAAACTCGGAAAATTTTTCCTATTTTAATTTATATTGCTACGATTAGTTTTACGACAGTTATCGCAAGACGGACAGACGGACATAACGGGTACATAAGCCCTGATTCAGGCTAAAAACCTATATTTAGTTAAAATTTTCACCAATGCATAATATGTATGCACGTGCATAATACACATTGTATATTTGACAAAAAACAGGCGTAAAGTGCATTAGTAAAATGCATTTGGTACAATAAAATTCTGCAAAATGGTCGGTTTGACCGATAACAGCGAGCTTGACTCGGGCTGCACACTGGAGATTTCAAGTTCAAACTTCGAAATAGTACCCTCGAGATTTTTAGCTTAAAAAATCAAGCTAAAAATTACGATGATTTCATCTTTAAGAATTAAGTCTCTGTGTCTTCCCATTCAAAAGTTATTAAACGTCAAAGAGTTGTTTTTTTCGACCATCGAGAAGAAACAACTATTTTTAAAATTAATTATTTTATTTGTAACTCGATCATTTGTCGCAACCGTTAAGGGTAACTAGGCACTAAAAGTCAAGCAATCGTGCTACAGATTGTATATATGTATATTCTACTGGATGGTAGTGTACATAATAGTAATAAGTAATTATGACTTACATGTATTTGTTACATACGATTAAATTACTCCCAATGTTAAAATTGTATAAGAAATTCTACAGATTCTTTTTTACGCACAATCTCAATGTAACAACAACATTTAATACTCAAAAATTATATTAACAAGATATTTTGCTTCTTTAAATATGTTACAACTTTTAAAATTTTAATTTGGAGCATCTTCTATGAAAACAGTTGGAACTAAAACATTACATAAGCTGGCAGCAAGAAAGTAATTAAACATGACAAATTCTTGCCTGCATTATGACCGGAGCATATTTGTATCGCAAGCAGGTAGCAATTTAATCGGTTGCTGTGTTGGAGGTAGTCAGTAGGATATTCAATTAATTAGGAAATAATTTGATTAATTTTAGAATTCCTTCTTGACTCGACAAGGTACGTCCATTGAGGCTTTGTCCGCCCTAATCCGCAACTCAAACTATTTCCTTACTGCATAATTTGTGACAACGATTTAATCCACCTTGCAAAATCTCGCAACATAAGATAAATTGGGAGTTTTTGGAGCTTTGCATATAAACAATCAAATTTTCAATATTTTCAAGCTGGGCCTGTTTGCAATTAATTGCATGAATGGTTTCTTTATCGAGCCTTAATATACGTAACAACGAATTTATGTACACCAAAATTTACACCACTTATTTGTTTTACAATTATAAAATATTTATAGCTTAATTGTACATAAGGTAAATAAATTATATTAATTGGTAAATCTAGCAATGATTGGAATCTCGGGGTGAACTCAGATGATCATGGCTTCCGTATAATACTGGATCTGAAAGTACAAATTTAATTGTTTAATAATGCATGAATATGTATGTACACATGGGTTTCTGTAATCCCAGTATGAAAAATTTGTGTACGGTACGATTACAAAACGACATTCTTGCAATATTATCATCACACCTTTAGAATTAATTTTCCATATGAAGACGACTTGTTAATAATAGCATGCAATAAATAATACAATGTGCTTGGACAGTGGTACGTGTGATTTACTCATTTAACGCAACGAACAAAAAAGTGAAATGAACTTGAACCAAAAATATACATTTTTTAAGAAACGGAAGACACGACACATTTCATACTTAACGCTTCAATTGATTACTCACGTGTATATTGTTTGTTGCGTCATAAGACAGTAGTATGAGTATGTACATACTTAGATAATAGAGCAGCATCTAAAAGGACGTGTGGCTACCGTGGTGGTGACTATGAAGGTTCATTGGGAAATTAGATCCATCTAAACCAGCACAATGAATTTACAATATTACTCTTTGTCACATACAAAGCATACGCAATCCAACGAGTAAAGTGCTCTCGTATGGGGCAAGGTGAGCTATGGTAATAAGAAGGCACACACACGATCCCAATCTGACAAGTAATTAGCCAAGGACATGAACATCTGACTCTGGTCTTTTGTGGTTATTGCATGCAATGAATGAGCTTATCATGAGCCCCAAGGGGGCGAAGGATAAGGAGAAGAAGACGCGTTGGTTGGTTACCTAATGAGTTCAGACCGTAGTGAGATGAAGCATACATTGAGGGTCCTCCCGACGTCTGCACCGAGTGATGGGAGATGGGGAGTCCAGAATTCAATCCCGATGATTGATGTTGCAGTTGCCCGAATCCACCCATTGACACACCTGCTTGACTCAACTGTCCTGCCAGACCAACTGTGGACCAGGAGTAATCAAACCAATCAGCATGAATGGCTGATCAATCAGAACTTTCAGATTTCAATTTTTACCACTAGTTTCACCCACAAACCAATAACCATACAAAATGTATGCTAATTCGCTATACATGATCAATACAAATATATTTACATATAGATTATATCATGCATATCAAACTTGTTGGTGGCAGATTCTACAAAATCTAATTGTGTTATACGCAGTCAGTATGTAGTAAGACGAATTAGTAGGAATCATCATCAAACTCTTTAAGTTAATGTAAAGCCAGGCTGTTGGCCATTAAAGTTCTTAAGTAAAATTATGATGGGTAGCGTACTTTTAATCACTGTAATTATTTCATGAAGGAAATAAATCAGCTTCAAAGTGCGTAATCATTGCATCAATGAATATATCCGATTTTTCGACGTAAAAAATGTGTGGATATCAACAAGGGGGAGGTAAAGAAGGTGCATAACTCACCGGCAGCTGCATTCATGGAAGCCACGCTCCACCGGGCATCACCACCACCGAACATCCCGGCCGGAGAGCAGAGTCCATCGGACACGGAGCCGAAAGGTGGGAGACCGTGCGATGGGAGAAGGGCCCCCGGCGTCCTGAAGACGTTCGTCGTCTTCTTGCGTTTCTTCCACTTGGCGCGACGATTTTGAAACCATACCTAACAAAACACACAAGATAAGTACTTCAGTCCGCAGATTGGGACATTCCTCAAACTGATACTCATCCATTTGGATTAGATATATATTTACATATGTGGATTTACATATGCATATACATTTGCATTTACATATGCATATGAGAATTACTATTTTCAAGCCGGTTTGGTAATTCCAACCGACTTTTCTATGGATCATGAATCCTGTAAGATTGATATTGATGAAGTGAGATTGCAAGTGAGATTGCAATTGTGGTCTCGCACCAAGACATTGAATTTGGAAATTGAACATATGTATGCGGATCTACATCATTATATATAAAATAATGTTGGGAAATGTACTGAGGACACGATCCGAAGTGAATCTGCTTCTCTCATAAAAGGGAAATCAACCTAATTTTATGACCTTTTATATGATTTTTTGGCTTAGCGGTTGGTTAACTCAGCCCATATTGTGAATAATAATGTCACCAACTAACCAACGAGCGAGGGTATCTGACAAAGCTAACCAACTGTTATACAAAGCTGGTTTTGGGGTGCCACACCGCAATGACTGGCTTCCTCCTACAATAATGGCCATATAAACACATCATCTTTTCACCACAAATTGCTTTGCTTAAGTCCTTGCTGAAAATATTAGTTTGCAAGATTAGCTTCCCTTACTTTTATTACCACGAGGAATACACTTGCCGTTGCACAGTAAGTAGGGAGCACAAAAGCGAATTTCTTTTTTAAAGCATACTACAAAATTCATCACTACGAGTTGAATCTGAATCTAATCATGATGGTTCCATGTATATGCCACCGGCTAAAGTGAGAATATTCAAGTATTCAATTCATTCAAGTCGACGTGATTCATTGTGGGTTACGGTTAATTAATGCAGTCTCAGTATTTAGCCTTAACATTTAATTTGCAAATTACGCGCATAATCTCAGTTAATTGGTTTATCCTTCCAAATGCTACAATTTGCAGCGATGTGACATATATATTATCTCAACTGTTCCTTCAACAATTTGGGCAGGACATGAAATGTACACTTCTTCCATTAATGCAACATCAAGTGCAGTGCAGGCAGAGTGCACCGCAATTGCCAAGCCGCTGAATGCAACTACTTGTTTTAATGAGAGTAGGAATGCCTTCTGTGGTGGTGGTATGGATATTTTGCTCTAAAGGGATATGGGCATGAAGAAGCCGCACAAACGAGCATTAGATTAGTGGTGTTGGGGGATCAGAAAGTCACCAGGAGATTTTCAATAATTAAAGACTTTTCTAGCTTTTAGGTTCCTCAGGCCCCATTCTTCCCACTGAATAAATTATTACACCATCAACACCAGAAACAGTCCAACTTTTGCCGGAGAAAATCTGAATCCGAGAGAGAAACGCCATTAGCCTCTCCCTTCTCGCTTGCCTCCGTCGGGAATTCGCTTACCACGCCGAGCTGAAGAACTGAACCAGTCTCTCCATCGACTGCAACAAAGTACAATGTGATGCAATATATACACAGTAAACACATTATCTCGGAAGAATAAGGGTACATTCGTGATGCTGGTGGTTCGAGAGAGAAAACGCATTTTTGCGTGCATTAAATCCCAAATGAATGACATGACAGCAAATACATACATAAGCTGGATAGCTTTTGTGCCACCAGCGCCGAGAAAAAGTTTCCTTGTGTTGGTTGAATAATAAATATCCCATGAATATCGGATTAAAACTTGGATTTATGCAGAACTAATTCAAATTCTCAATCATGAATGAAAGCAGTTGAGATTTCAAGCTCAATCTGCCACTTATGCATAAATACGTTATGGTTAGTTATGATGAGTTTTTATAATATGTTAAATATGGAATTTTACGTGTACTCATAAGCTGAATAAAAGACCACAAACTAAATAGCTAACTAAATAAGTTACTGCATTTTATCAATTGAATTCACAGAAAGGAGTTGGAAAATACTTGTGGAATAAAACACCGGAAAAGGTAATAAAATGATGCTATTTTCAACAGGTTTCCTGTAAAAAATGAAAAGGTCCAATTGAATCTTATTCCACAGAAATGACAGTTTGTCTACCACCGACATACGTAAACTTTTCTTGCTCGCATCTAAAATTCAGAAGCTGTACCAAGCATTCGGAATTTTTGTGTGAGTAGCAGGAAAGAAAGGGTTAGTTGCTGGGATGAGGCAAAAGGGGTGAGATGTGAGGTTGGATGTTGAATTCCGTGGTTATAAAACAAAGTAGAGGTGGACTGACTATGTAATCTCATCTCAAAGAATGGAAATCTTGAAAAATATTTTAACACAATTATACGAAAAATTTTACCGCAGTTTTGTTATACTTCAAGGGAACCTTAAGTACTGTCACATCCTTCAGATAGGACGTCCTATATAGCATATATATAGGCCTATATACATACCTATATGGCATAATGGGGGGACCCCATAGGGTCCCTCATATATCCAATTTTCTTCCAGTTTTCCAGAAGGCTTAAAATTTCGAACTAGGTATGGAAAGTTATTTTGTGAATAGGTGAAAAGCTGACGATACAAGTTTCCAAAATTGTTTGCAACTTGGAAAAATTATTATGGCCAACAATTTTGAAAAATACATAAAATAGACTGGCATGGGTCATTATATCTTTTTCATGAAAAATTGTGAGTTTCACTTTTTGAAAATTTTCGCCCATTTTGTTGTAATAAGAGAAACATTATTGTTTGAAAACTTTTTTTTACAATGCTTACATAAAAGAAGTTTAACATTTAAATTTAGTTTAAATTTTAAAAAACGACGAAATTCAAATTTAGAAAATTTTGCAGATTTTCGCTATTTGAATCAAATTGGCCCATGATTGCATGGTTTGTTTGCATATTGGTGATCAGTATGAAATTGCGGACAGGTACATTTATAATTTATAAACTTCGTTTCATTATTCCGAAGGTTGTTATCTATGTTAAAAGCACTGGAAAAATTGCACGTTTTGGTGCAGCTTTAATATTTCCCGAAAACATGATTTTTCACCGTATGTCCTTGTGACAAAGTGTTAGTTACATACACTAAATTATCTATCAATTAAGACCATCCTGAAGGAAATCGAGATGTGACAGTACTTAAGGTTCCCTTGTTAATATGCGTGTAAGTACACATGTACATTGTGATCATAAGCCATATTTTTTGTATATTTAATTGTGAATTAGATTTTAAGACTCACATTAATGAAATTTCGATTAATGGCAGCTTCTTCAAATGAAGAGATGCACGTTATCTCTAGAGGGACTGAATTACACGTAGCTCACAGAATATTGTCAAAATTATTCTCATTGTTCTGAAATCTGAAATGCCGCATGAAACACTCATGCATATATTTCTAGAAATGCTTGACAGTACAAAACGTCTTTTGAGCCTCTATTTGCGCCGTAGTAGTCAAAAATACAATATTCATACATGTGTCATTCATCAAAGTATATCGTATGATCGTGTTATGTTTAGCTTCTGAGTGAGAAATCCTATTGTTTTGTATATAATGCGATATTTTATTAATAAACCATGAGTACAAACACCTTTTATAATATTTTTTTCCTACAGCCAACAGAAACGGCAGTAATGCCATTCGACCATTCGATTTCAGAGATTCTTTTGATGGTTCCTTCGTATGTTCCTTGGCTGGTTGTGCCACCAAGAAGGATTGCGCAGCGTTTTGTGTAAATAAATGAAACAAGGGGTTGTGAGCGTCAGTTCAGCTTTGAGAGGTAATAAAGGCTCAACTCAACGATGCTTTGATGCATGGTCGCATCAAATGCTTCAAATGAAATCTCTCAGAGGAGTCATTTCGTCTGTTAGTTTGGGCAGGTGGGTTTCTCACACTTGCTGCAGCCTTACACTGACTGGGACAGACCGTAATCCAACAGCATCGTATACATTATCAAACATCTTTGGAAAAGGTGTGACTTTCTTCATTATTTTGTAGCCACATTAAGTGCTCTAATCCTGTTCTAGCAGTCAATGCTACATTACATGTAATGTATTGACGAATTACTCAATAAAAAGTGGTAAGACTTTAATTTTTTGGAATTTCAGAAAATAAAGTCCCGAGTTGATTATTTTATTGGCATTGTATTGTCTCAAACAACGTACAGTTTCATATTGCATAAATTGACTGGATGACATAATTTAACCTATTTATACATATGTAAATTTATCGTCTCATCTACGATCTCGAACTAATTTGCCACGTGAAAATCATCCCAGATTCCCTTGAATTAGTCATTTTTGAAGCGCTTATTTTTTAGTCTCCATTTTATGTAGGCACTGCGTGTGCTGTCCACAACAAAGACAAAAATCTATGTAATGTGCAGAGGACTGGTCAGCTATTGAGTTTGAACAGCACTTGGCATTTGGTGAAGACGAGGAGTACGAGTGAAGAGTTGTTAATTTGATGAAATGGTCGAAGAGTAAGCAAAGTCTGCTAAAGGTCACTCTCGTCTGAGCCACTGAGTTACGCATCTTCCAATTTACATCTATTAGACCCATGCACGGCACTAATTGATCCCCAGCTACTACCTCCAAGTCTCAGCTGTTCCACAGTCAAACAAAAAGATTTACCATGAAAAATTCCTCCCCAACAACCTGCAGCTACTTATCTACAACTACCAGCCTTTAAGACAGCTTACATATTTCTACCTGATGTGGTTACTGAACAAGATACAGCCCGAAAACATGTTTGTAACGTACCAAACATAAATTTACTATTAATATGATATATAATTGCAAATATTTAAGCTTATAAATTTACTAACCTGAACTCTGGATTCCGTGAGTCCAATTCGCATCGCTATCTCCTCTCTCATGAAGATATCTGGATAATGAGTCTCCATATAAAAAGAAGAAGGATTGTGAGTCTTTAAAGTGTAATTAATAAGATATTTAGGCATCAGAATTCAAATCTGCAAACTATCTTGCGGAGAAATGGTAAATTCAACGCAAAAACTTAATTTAGATGGGTAGATGCAAGATTGAATGTATGTATGCAGTAGATATTCAAGGAATGGTAAGATATAAACCTTGGAAAAGCATCGTTCCAACTCGTTTAGCTGTGCAGGGGTAAAGCGAGTGCGATGGCGTTTTTGTTTCTGCGGCTTGTCGCTGTCGGACGAAACGGGTGTCGAAGTCCCGGTCCCTAGTCCCCCAGTATTCCCAAGCTGCAACAAATGGACCAAATAATGTCATAAATCGACTCCATTGACTTTACCCTATAAATCTCTCCACAAACTTTCACCAGGATTTGTTTCGTTGGAATATGCCATTTATCTACGTACAAGAGTACTTTCATGCATTTATTATTTGCAAAACAGCGCAGTGTTCATACCTGAAGTCCCTGTCCGGAAGCAAGAGATGTTGAAATGGACAGTTGTCGGGAATCGTTCATGTTGCAAAGACCAGTGTTCCCATGACCTGTATATTGAACTGCATTGTATTTAAATATCATAGCTCTTGTTAGATAATAATGGGTTGATAATTAGTGAAACTTGATAGGCTAATAATATGCAAATTGAAATAATAATGAAAGTCATATTTATAATTTCACAAAGCTAAAGTTTAGTTTTTTATAGGAAAGTTGAGACTAAAAATGGTGATAATTGTCTAAACTAGATAACTAATTGTACTCAGAACCAAAGCTACCCCCAAGTTGCACATTAATTACTACAATTGCCACTAACTACCACTAACCACGCCTCACCTTTTGCATTCCTTGTTGGAAGGTGAAGGTCATGTGCATAGTAATAAAGTGGTAACAACCATGAACCATTACAAAAATCTTGATCCAATTCAAAGTTATTAAATAAAACATAGCAATTTTCTACATTGTCCTCCAAATATTAAATACGTATCTCCAGACATTGTTGTAGCTAAAAAAAAACCTAGAGGCTCACACGTCCAAATTGTTTGATAGCCTTTGTCTACGGTGACTGAATTGGCTGGAGACTAGACTTGTGGAGACGGAAGTGGCTTTGCTTTAATAAATAGAATTTGATCTCATTTGTCTTATAAGACCTAACTCATTGCTCTCAATTTACTTTTGATTGGGCTTGTTTGTCTCTGGTAATGCGCACCACCTTCTCCGACTACATGCATAGCGTCCTCTTTCTTGGGCAGTATACCCGTCTCTCCCGTAACATCTTATCTTTCCCTTTCATCTCGGCCCACTTGGCTATAACCGAAGGAAATCTAATTTGTTAAATCCTTCGTTCAGTCCTCACACTCACTCCGACCAAGACTCCTTTCGTGTGAAAATCAATTGAAAAAATGCCAATTTGCAACCATATTAAATGCAAAGTGCCAATAAATGAATGCATGCATACATACTTTCACTTTATGAAAAAATATGCAGATCGGGTATATAATTTTTCTTACCCCCTCCACCGGATCCGATGTTGTTCAACATCGCCAGTAATTCCAGTTTGCCCCTTTGAAGTCTTATCCCAACTTTTCTTAGCTTCCAATTAATTAGTAATTCGTATTGATTTATTAAATTACAACTGATTAGATTAATATTTGCAATAAATCTGCCTCCAATTTGGGGAAAGTTCTTAATTAACGACCAACCAATTAACGAGTCAAACGACACATTCACTTGCTCCGTGTGTGATTTGGTATGATTAAATAAATTGACGTGTTGTGTTTGGCGAGCGGACTAGACTGAGACGAGGTCTCACTTTCCTTCTGGGCCGGAGAAAGCAGTGGAGAGAGTGCTGGCAGAGGAGTATGCAATCAAGCTGGAATTGAGCGAGAGTGAAGCCTCGAGATTGAATTTATTTGCTTGATTTGAGCTGATTGTTCTCCCAACCAGCGTAAAACATGGAGAAGTGAGACTTTTGGTGCCCGAGGAGGAAAATCGTTTGTGCATCTCCCATCTCTCTTTGTGTAGCGTGGTGGTTGTGGTGTTTGGGCAATAGCGGAGGAGATGATGGTGATGTGATGATGATTCAAGAAGATTTTTAGGGATTCTTCTCTCGTGTACAGCCAGAGATACGGCGAGAGAGAGGTAAAAGAGAGAGAGAGATAAAGCGTGGGGAGATATCAAATGAAAAGCTTGGGATTTGGTTAGGGATGTCATTTGAGGAGGGCGAGGGAGGCGTGAAAGTCGGTGTGCCCATGTGGGCGGTGTTCAAATGGCCAAACGAATCAATTCGCTCTCTCCCGACCCAACCACTGCCAAACTCCACGCTCGCTCTTTTCTCCCTCCTCGCCCATCGCGCTTTCTCCTGCTCCTGCTGCTCCTGCTGCTTCTGGAGAAAGCATCTCCACCTGCAAGAAACTCTCGTCTTGGCCACGTATCTCTCTTCCCTGGAAGAAAGCGTTCAGAGGAGTCAGTTTCCAAATGGGGGAAATAATGTGAAAATGTTTGAGGCATTGTGATATTTATTTAGTAAAACATTTGTTCATAATTATGAAAACATGAGAATTCGATTACCATGCAGTCGACATTTAATCGAAATTATTTTATGAAATTAGCTCCGTGTAACTCTTTACAATTAAACAGGGTTTGTAATTAATTTTTAGTTGCTTCTCTGTCCAGCGGTACTTACTTATTATCTGGCTGCATATAAATAAATACACAAGAATTATACGTACGGTTGTGGGGCATGTTAACTTTCCACAATTTGGTGAAAGAGGACTCGGTTGAGGCGGATGGTGTGCAGAACTGCAGAGAAAGAAAGAAAGAAAGAAAGCTGGGTAGGAGGAAAGGTTTGGTGGTGTTGGGTTTACACGTTTGTTTGCGGGGAGCAGTGGTGTTGGTGTTGCGTTGTGCTTAAGAAGTAGTCCCTGGTTAGATATCCATTCATCTGGGCCAATCAAGAAACCTTTGGTTGAAAGTCCCAATTCATTAGGCTCAATTTTGGTAATGCCGTTCGCAATTGGATGTAATGAATGAGATTAGTTTGTGTTAGATTTAGATTTACTACTACGCATAAATGCACTTCTCTCTTGTGACCCCACACAAACATAACCTTGCCTAACTCTGGCTATCTCTCAACCAGAGAAGGTTATATGGATGTACATACATCACATGATGCTTCTACTGCTCGTTTATTGCTACAACTTCCCACACCACATTGGCAACAGCAGCAGCTTGTTTAGTTGATTTAGCCCCGAAGGAGTGGTGAACATTGGTGGTATGATGCCACGCTAAGTAACACAAATGTAATATTTTCATCATCATCAAAAAACAAACTCAACTCAATTCAATTTATTTTCTAATGAACCTAAAATGCTCTTAATGCCACTACTTCCTACCTTCAACATTGTTAAACAACTTAGTCACTACTTTGCTCCTGGTTTGCTTCAATTTAACCGTTTAGCTAATCTCGTATAACCATCTTATTTGGACGGGAACTGTTACAGGTATCCTTTTTTCGGCTGTTTGGGGCGAATCAATATCTCTCACTCAAATCGATACTAGGTTTTTTTATAAATGAAAATTTATGCCACAAATATTTGGAGTAAATGTAAATTAAATACTAAATCGTGTTTGGCCTTGTCCCCAACAAATATTTATTATTTCTCATCATCTTCCTCCCAGCTAGTTTAATAAAAAGTAAAGGTAACTTGCGAGTTAGAAGGATTGAGACTTCCACACATGGAGATGTTAAACAATCCATTGCAATCTAAGGTTTTGAAGTAATATAAAACTGCCAATGGTGTGAAGATGATAAAGCACCAGAGTTTTCTTGCCTATTTACTTACAAAATGTAAATCTGAAGGCAGACTGGTATGAAGTTATACGCAGAATAAAAATGTACAGAGGCGATTTCACACTTTCAAGTTGGAGGTGTTAAGATCACAACTCTTTATTGATCCAACTTTAGCTTCTTCACTTTATGAGCCATGAACCGCTCAAGTTGTTGAGTTGTGTATAATTATGGTGTTTGAATTAAAATTCATGCAGAGCTTCACTCTCCTCCTCAACATCAAACCATTATAAACCGCAGAATAATTTAGCTCCTATAGGGAACTGCCGTATCCGAATATTAATGAGTACAACATCATCCCCAACACAACGAATTCGAAAGGTGAAGATGACCAGAAATAGGTTCAAAACTTGTTCTGACATATTTGATTGTCATATTTCGTATGAGTTAAATCCTAAAATTAATAAGAAACTTTTTGAAAAACTGAAAATAAAATTCCTTTTTTATTGATATTTCGAATTATTAAGTGATGTTGCATAACGATCGTTATGCATCATCACTCACTTGTAACCAGTTGTTCTTTTCAAATTGATGCCTGATGCTCAAACGGCTTTCTACAGAAATTACTTTCCAATTACTGGAACGATTTATGCGGAAGTGGAGAACGGAAGGGCGTATCCAGTCAGTCAGCTATCTTTTCGTCTGCACTCTTCTCCTGAATAAATTGACTCCTCGCTCAATTTGGTTGGGTTTACACTTTTACATTTACTTTGCTCAAATTAACACGAGCAAGATTCACCACGCAGACAGATCACGAAGGGAACGAGGGACTTGGTTGGTATTGATTGAAGTTTGGATATTTTCACCATATGAAGTCAAATCGGATACAAAGTCAAGACAGGGAAAGGACTGGAGTTGAATGAGTCGGCATAAGCAGTCTGCATCTGCCTGCCTGCCTCCTGAGGATGTAAATCGGATGAAATGGAATTAGGGAAAGCAACAGAGGGTTCACATCCCAATGACAGTTCAGGCGTCTCGTGTGCCACGGGAGGTCCATTTTAATCAAATCGGATGTGAATTGCTCACACACATTTAAATTCTGTCCTTGCTCCAAACAAACACAACCGTTACACAAATTTTTAACTTGTTTTCTCCAACAACAGCGACCTCCGAGTCTTCTGTTTCGGACACATCAGTTTCTTTTTACTTGACTGGATTTGAGCAATATTTAATGCCATGAAAATTACTTGGCTCTAATGTTGGATTATCATTTCCATCCTAAAATCATAGCGATGACTTTACTTATGCATACATGTAAGTGAAACTGTTGTTCACGTTCATCAAGCACAGACATGAATTAATCATCGACCTGACATGATTATGAGCTAATTATGAGCGGTGAATTAAAAACCGAATAATTTCCGATAAAATCAAATGAGGGGATGTTTCCGACCTTCCTTCACTCCACGACGACGACTACTGCTGCTGCGGGATTTGCATAATTCACACAAGTGAAAATGAAGCAACACGGGAGCGATAAAATAAATGAAACGAACCGTCCAACATTAAGAGCCAACTCAGTAATAAAAGTTGAGTCATGTAAATAAATACAATTATAATGTTCTCAGCTCCTCGTACCCCTACGCGTCCCATCTAATACACCCAACAATAAATACACCAAGGAGAGAGAGAGAGCACAATGGAGGAGAGCTGCTACTTTGCTTTTTGATTTGTTGGATGGATGCGAGTAAATGTCGCGGACGAGTGTGAAATAACAAATGAAATGGGGGAGCCCAGACCCAGGCGAAATGAACATCAGGCAAACCCGTGTGTGTGGTTCATAATCAAAAGCCACATTTACCATCCTCGGACAATAATCTGACACTAATCTCTTGTTATTGGACGATGCCTGCTAAATAAGGATCGGCACACAAAGGATGAACATATTGGTTAAGAGATTGAACATGATACTTCATACCACGGATGATATTGCGTCCCAAGATTGCCCCACAAAAATCTTGCTTGATGCGATATAACAATGAATTTGCCTATTTATATCCCATTGACGACTTATCACAAAGTCGTTCTAATAATAATATCTCTATAAATACGCAATGGATATTTATTAATAAATATGGAATATGTACGTACAACAAATTTATCATACTAAATTGAAAGATTGCTAGGTCAATTAAGCACATCATACAAAAGGTGAACTTTCTTTTAATTTGGGACAAATTCTCATCTTAATTATGCAATGACTTTTTGTTGGGGAGGTTTCGGGTATTTTATGTCTGGAAGCCTTTCTCTCAAACTATCATTCGACATATGGGGTTTTCGGATTTTGCACTCTGGGAAATTTCCAGTGGCACGTATTGTTTAAGTGCACACAATATTATCGGTAATATTTAAGTACATACAATAAAACCTGCATATGATTAGCAAAAGAATCAATTTAATTGGATCAATATAAAGTACAAAACTCCCACGCTAACAATTTGGAATGAAGTCATTCAAACAATATGGCATTTGGTCTTCAATGGCACATTGTGTATATTGTGCCAAGCATTGTTCGTTCGCATTATATAAATCTATTAACCGACTAAAGGATGACAGGTCGGGTGCCGTGCCGTGTGTCAGACCGGCACCGCATTCAATTCGGCACGTCATTTGACTCTAATTGTTTGTCTTCACATACATATTACACAATTTGAAATAATATGTAGCAGGGAATAGCTTGTCATATAAATGTATATCTTAATTGTATCAGGTTTAATTAAAAACTTCGTAGACCCGTAATAACTACCTCGCCGAGGAGGGAGCAGGAATTCTGCCATGTCGATGGTAATGAAATATCAATGCTCAATTTCATATATTTACGAGACAACTTGAGAGGCCCTCGAAAATACGCAATACGGAACTTACGAAACAAGATTCACCAGGTAACAAGGTTCATGATTGAGTGGATGGGCCACGCGTCAGATCAAATTTGAGCGAGGCCTATTTACTTTGAGGAATTTTCTAATAATATTTCATCAAGCAGGTAATGAAATGAGAACAAGTCCTTGACAAGATCAGCTATTCGTTGCCCAAGGTTCCCATCCACCCTTTCATTTCTTCCCACTTACTTTTACTCTTGGCCGGTATAACTCCTAAATCGTTATCAAACGAGGATTCAGTAGTCTATCAGATATGTAAGTAGCTGAGCAGGAAGACTACAAAGTTCAAACACTGAATATACACTTTCCCTCAAGTGAAACTTTACAGCCCGTGCTCAACTTTTAGCCTGGCTCTTAACTTTAATATTAGACGACGACGACGACGACGATGATGATGAAAGATTGAGAAAACTA